CTAACCGATTCTCTCAAATCACACTCTGATTGGGACACATGGCTGCCTCATATTACATTTGCCATTAATTCCTCCAAGCACACCACGACTGGTTTTAGCCCGTTCGAATTACTCTACGGCCGTGAGGTGGTCCTTCCCACGGAATCCGCATTTATTGCTGAGGAATACATTAGTTTGGAGAAATTCCTTTCTCACATAAGATCTGCTCGGACACTTGCGTGGGACCGAATCCAACACTCTCAAGAGGTTGCAAAATTTTATTATGACAAAAAACGCAAGCATATTGAATTTCCTATAGGCAGTCAAGTTCTCTGCCGTAAGTACATCCAAAAGCTGCTAAATTAATGCAGTATTGGTTCGGCCCGTACATGATTAAGCGAAAACTTTCTGACGTTAATTACATAATTTCCGCTACGATGTCTAATGGTCGTGTTATCACGGAGACCGCCCATGTTGAGAAACTGAAACTATACAACTCTAGGACGACTGATGAGACCACCGTCAGCACATTCTCCCCTTCTGCTCTGGACATTTCCCACGATGCAAGTACAGACCCTCCTCAGAGTGCAGACCACCAAGATAATGCTGACTATGCTGACGAGGAAGTTTTATCTTCTCTAGACCCACCACATTCCTCCCGATCCTCACCTGGCTCTCCGACTCCAACCCCCAGTGACACACTGACCTCGCAACAAGCTCAGTTGCACACAAATAATTTTCTCTTCGACTCTGATTTCCCTCAACTCTCTCCACAAGCACATACATACGAATCTACGCTGTCGCAATCTACGCCACCGGTTCTTTCACCAGTTTTCCCACATAACAAACAACCAACACCTGCACACCAATACAATCTTCGTTCACGAAAGAAAGTTACATTTCAAGAGGGATCATGAATCCTTTGTGCTTACTTTGTGTTACACTTGTTTCTGGTGCTCGCCTGACTGGTGCGAAAGACCAACTTTCAACAACAATTACGCGACTTTCAACTGGAATTTTGACAACGAATGTCAAAATTATTCCCTATGAATCTACCGTTCCTCTGATTTACGAAATGGATCTCCCTGACCTCGACCAATGGACCCGCCTCTTGACACCGCTTAACGACACAGACATCGGCCAAATTTTGAATGCCACCCACTCTCTTGCACTTCGACTCCTCCAATTATCCCGTCCCCCAGTTCAACGCGTCACCGCCGTTCCATAGAAATCATTGGCGACTTTTATAATTGGTGCTGTGGCGTGGCCCAACAAAAAACTGTCGACCGCATGCAGCTTAACGAGCACCACCTTGATAATTTCACCCTACAACTTCAATCGGCCCTTACAGCAGAGCATTCCTTCACAGTTGAGTCCACTAAAATTTTTAACAAAGATTTTCAGGCCCTCGAGAAAGCCCTTAGCGAAACCGACCGAGTAGTTCACAATGAGTTACGCGATATCGCCAATGAAGAAGAGAGACTAGAATCAAAAGCCCAGGATGACCACCATTCCCTTTTTGCCCTGGCCGTCGCCTAATTTCAGACAGTACTGAACCAAAACTGGATCCAGACCCTTAGCGACTGCAGGCAGTCACTACTCCCACCCTTTATTGTTAGCCCGAAGATGCTGCGACGCGACCTACGAGTCCTGCAACGGAAGATACTTCAACATAACAGAGAGCTCAGCATCCCCTCCAGCGACTTGGAGGACGTTTTTCGCTATCCCTTAGCGACTTGTTTGTTTAGTCCGAACAAAGTGGTTGCGACTGTTCGCATCCCCCTAGTGAGCCTGAATACGACGTACGAAATGAAACGAATCCAATCCCTGTCTTTTTTTATTCAACGATGACGTCTGTCAAGTGAAAATCGATGTGAATTACGTTGCCCTGTCCAAACATCGTATTATCCCCATCACGCCGACCATATCACTCATCTGTGACCCGACAACAAATGCTCTCTGCTTGCTGCCACGTTTCGATCCTCCTGTTATTACTGAACATAATTGCATTCGAGCCCTCCTAAAAAGTGCCCCCATCTCAGAAATCAACCAAAATTGCCACCTCTCATGCACTAAGCTGTACCACCCACTAATTCTGCAGTTGGGACCAGCCAGCTTCGGAATCATTGCCCCAAATTCCACCATCAAATTATATCCAACTTCACGAAGTGCCCACAAGACTATTACAGCCCCGACAATTGGCCTTTTGGAAGTGCACCTTTCTTGCTCCAGCCGACTCTACGTGGACTCTATTCTGGTGACGCCCGACTTCCCTTGCCTTAGAACCCAGTGGGATCCGTCTTACCATCATCTTGTTCCCGCCCCCTTCACCAAATTACGCACCCCAATCATCACCAATGCTACTCACTTTGCTGCCCTGGACGAGATTATCAACCAAGAATGGCATGAATCAATTCCTCACACAAACTATTCCGAGCCACCACTTCCTGCCACCCATCACGTGCCCTTGGAAATTCATGCAGCCGCCTACGTGTCATACAGTTCTTCAATTATTTTATTTTTGATTGTAATTATTGTAATTTGGATCACTTATAAATTGTTCTGTGTTCCAGTCCCCCTAATTCCTGGAGTCCACGCCTACCCTGTCCTTGAAACCATCGAAGTCACGTCGGATGTCCTTACTGTCCTTTTCCTCCTCATTTTAATCCTGATTGGCCTAACCATTTTACGCCATCTTTCTAAATTAGCTAATCGCACCAATTCGAATCCCCGACTTATCTACGCTACTCCACCTACCGAGCCACTGCCGACACGTCACGATGCCCACGAGATGTCAACCTTGCCCAGTGCTCCGCCCCAAACTACGGTCCACCAGTTCGATGCCTTCGGAAATTATAACTAAGTTCATTCATTATTATTAATTCACAAAAAACCATCGATTTCTTATTATTAATATCAAACAATATTTCTGTATCACGATTTATTCATTTGAGTAATAATTTTGCTTCAATATTTGTAGTTCTGCTTACCGGGAGTGAGGCAGTCGGTGGATGACGTCACCCAGCAATTTCCAAGTTTCCAGTAATTTTTCCAAGTTCCCGAGACCACCCACCCCACCCACAGCCACACCCCCGGTGACCTTTGACCTCTGAGGAGGGCCCTTAAATCCCCCCTTCCCCCCAGCCTTAAGGGCTCTCCCCCCAAGGGGTACCCTAAGATGTTATCAAACCCGGAATCTGCAATTTATCAACATAAAAATTAGTTTTATAGTCATTTTACTGCTTGTCGATACTAGATATACATTTATTTTTAACCAATTTCATGATTTTCACAATTTATTTCTAACATAATTCCCAAAATGTCCAAAAATTTCCAAAAAAAAATATATATGTATTTAGTACTTACCTTTGCTGTGAATCCGCTTCCTGACATAATTTTTGATGAGGCAGATATGTAGCACTTTATTTTATCAATTTGATTGTATTTTAGAACACAATTTTGTTAGTTAATTCTTCAAAATTTAAAAATTTAGTGAATTTTTCCTCGCCTTTGCCTCGTTGTGTAGTTGTGTAGAATAATGGCGGACGTTATTCCGCCTCTCCTTTGTCCCGAGTGATCGTACTCGTCACTCGTATGCTTTGTTCAGTTTAGTAAATTCGTCGTAATCACTCGTTTTTAAGTTAGCGTCACTACTCTTTTTCAGGAGAAAAAGTCTCCTGCAAGAGGGTAGTGTTAGGTACATACATAATATGCAAAATGCAATGTAATAATGCAACCACAATTATTATTAATAAAGCCTTCCTAAACTACACATCTCTCCTCTCTCATCTCTCCTCTAAATGCATACATAACACCAGGAACAAGATTGTCCGAGTTTGAGGGTACTGGCGAGAATAAATCGAGTATAAAATTCCGTTGGCAGGCGAGAAACATCTTCAGCGGGGGTACTTCTTGCCAAAGTATTGAAGGGGGCGAAGACAATGGTAAAAACGAGGATAAGTTTGCAACTCATTTTTTGCAAGGAAATATTTTGCTTAGCTGATTGTTTCGATTCGCATGAATAATTAACGGATACTGATGCAAGTTAAGAAAATCCGGCCATATTTATACGAAACATGGATGTAAATTTGTGTCTTTACACGTGTCACCCGATTCCACGGATTTGCATTGTTGTCAGCCAAATACTGCGTAGTTATCGCATCTTTGTTAGTCATGGGCCCAGATTTGAACCAAAATCTGTACCGTTTACGGGGTACATGGCAAAGAACAGGATAAAAAATGCAACACAAAAGCTTATTATTTATAACGAATTTTGAAAGCCACTAATACTAATGCATGCACATTTTATTAATACTTCGTCATCGTGCGGGTGACGGGTTGCACGTACGTCTTTTCCATGAATATTTTTTTTAATCCTTGCTATCGCCAAAATGATATGAATTGCATAAAAAAGACCGTATGCAAGAAACATGTCTCGGACGAAGGGCAATGTCAAATATGGCATGTGGCGAGCGCAAAAAATCTTGTGAGACGGTAGTAGAAAAGTTATTAATAAACATTTGAATGCAGTCCAGTCCGGAATAATTGTAAGTATTTCTAAATACTTTATTACGACGTTCGTGAGTAGGTACATACATCAGTAATGAATATATTTATTACTTATGTCTGCATGTATAATAACGCTGTAACTTGTACATACATAAATTTTCAAATTTTCAAACATACAAATTTGTGTAATGAGTAATAGGTTCTGAACAAAACAGACATCTATTTATGAACGTCTAATGACGTCTTTACATACATATTTAACGGTATGAATTTTATGATTCCATATGCAAAAACAAATCCACGTTCTTATACTAAGCATTATGTAATGTAACAACTTGTTAGCAAAGAAATGTTCTTGATGTGTCCCAGGAACCTAAATAGAGTTGGTATATCAGCATATGTACATAAATATGTATGTGTAATATGTAAGTATTGCATCGTGCATATTGCATGCATACTTACGTAAGTACATATGTAGATAAGCTCTGTTATGCGTGAAGTGAAGATGAGTATTTACTTACAAAATCATTTATTTGAATCTCTTCACGATACAAACAATTTAACTTCATCAATCCCTTAGCTATGTACAATTTATTTAACTACCTAATTCTATTATATTTAAAAATAAAAATATCGATGGCTAACAATACATAAAATAGTGATACATCCATAGTAATTAAAGATGGTTAAGTCTTTACTTAATTCCTTTCTCATTTTTAATGAGATACAAAATTAAAGTAATTTTCGCCATTTGCTGTTCTTACTAATAAATACTGCTTACTATTATATAATTTCCTGACCCGTCTCTTCTTTCAAATCGGAGACGAATTTTCGTACAACGATGACACACATTGTGAGAAAAAGCTCAAGTTGGGCGACAAAGATAATTTCACCAGAATTATTCCATCGCCCATTAATAACCAACAGTATTAAAGCCGCGACAGCGACTAAGAAAATGGTCACGTAGCTCCAGATCAACCAGGGCATAATTAAGCGGTGATTGCGCTACAAAATATTAAGTATATACATATTTTTCTAAAAAAATGAATATATGTATTTTTGAAAAAATTAAGAAACAAACATATTTTGGAGAGATAACTTACGCTGAGATGTCCGTACACCATGACGCACGCCAGGATCAAGTACACGACCGACATGAAGATTAGGATGCAGCCGATCGTAATGTAACTACTGGTCGGAATTACTGAAGTAATTGTTTCGAATTCTTTGAATGCAGTTATAAATTCAGGTTAAATTTAGAATATAACGTACGATTTCCAAGGAAATTAATCCTCTTAATTTTATCTGGACGGCTGATCATGTCATTTACCCATATGGAAGTCACGATAATGGAGATGATGCCATAGATCTGAAATTGTTATTAATTCAAGGGTTAATATATATATATATATTTGGGTCTGGTCAAAAATGTTTGTATTATTTGGAGACATATTTAAACATTGCCACATTAATAATAATTACTATATGTATATGCATACATATCTATGGACGTTTAAAATTTCATAAAATATCAACAATATTTTTATTTAAGGAATTCAATTTTTGTGTAAGTATGTAATAATATATTTGGACACTTACTACAGTTGACACTCCAATTCTGAGGGTGGCTTGCTTCACGTTGCAGCAACAATACCCAGACATTTTTAGTGAATGATAAGTACACGGAAATTCATGTACCGGAAGGCAACAAGTCTATTAAAACTGACATTGTATCACTCCAGTTCCACCTCAACACTGGAGCATTTTGTTAGTGACGAGTTGTTCTCGGAAAAAAGAAATAGAAAAAAGAACTGAATCATAATTTGATCCATTGTGAGGCACAGTGTTCTCTAGTCTAGTTCTTAAAAGATGACGTTGCATAGGGTATAAACAATTAAGCATGTAATAAAATTTTGGTAGCGATTTTTTACTCGTTTCTAATTTAGATGAATATGTGACTTTAAGCTTAAAGCAGTATTGTCATTATAAACTACAGATGGTGTAGGAGAATTAAGCGCTTGATATCTTGTTTAGTTATTTGAGCAATATTAAATTAATAATATCCAAGTTTTTTTCCGACATAGTTCTTTAATCGTCGCTTGCAACTTCTGACATTGTACTTACTTTGTCCGAGATACATAAATACCTTTGGCTGTTTTGATTCCATGCCTGCTGCATTGTGTGTGTGAGAAAATTGATAAAAAATAGTTGTGGAAAGATACAGCCTTGCAATCCTTGTTAAGCATGTACATATAATAGGGTCGTCCTAATACTTCAAGTAGATACAAAAAGCTCTATTTTTTGCTATTTCAAACCAGTCATTTCTACCGTAAGCCTTGAGCTTTAGTCCATCACAAAGTCATGATTACTACGCACTAGTGTGTGTAACAATGCAAACACGTGTAAGCGGGGGACACGTGTTAGCGAAACAATTTTTTACCGATCTCCGAATTAGTGCATCATTTGTAACGATACAAAGTTGCCTAAAGTTCATACAAAATGACACTTAATAACTTGCACATATTTTTCATGACGTATCCTCCAACTCTGAAGCATCGTGTAGAAAATCGTTTCGGAATGGCTAACTTCTTACTATTTAGTTTGCAGGTAACCAAGTGACAATAAAGAAATATAAGCTCATCCTTAACACCTCTGAATTGATACAAGCTGCCAGATATTTTTACCTCCGGATTTTTATCTTCTTCTAACAAAATTTGATAATTTGATGGACACGAGTCCCAAAAGTGCTTATGCAATTCAACAAAATGGGGAAAACTTGTTGTTGCACTTTAGAACAGGGAACCGCAATCATCGGGACTCTCTGTATTGTAAGTATACATATTTAATAGAGAATCTTCTTAATATTGTGAAAACAATAATTATTAGGACATTGCGAAGAAATTTTTGCGAGGACATTTTTTGTCTAATGCACTCTCGAAAAAATTGTGCACAACTAGTTGATTAAAAAAAAGTTGATAAAATTTTCTACAACGTTGGACAAAATTTTTACTCCACAGACTTGAAATTTACACAACAACGTTGTGTAATGTTTGCTTTGGTCAACCTTGCGCAAAACTTGATATTTTTGTTGACTAAATCTAATTTTCATCATTATTGGGCAATTAGTTCCCAAAAGTTGAATAATTTTTACTCAACACTTGTAAAAGAATTGGCTTTTTGAAGGTAGTGTAAAATTCAGCCAACTTTCAGTTTACTTTTTACACAATAGTTGTGTAAAGTTTACTCTCGCGACGTCGCGTCTCAAAAGCAGCGTGGATGGCGCCACTTATATACTGACGGTTGACGAAAGGATTGTCAGGAAATTAAATCCTTTCTCTTTTCCTGTAATTTTCCACCAAAATGACCGAAAATTTGGAAAAAGCTTTAAAAAATACCGGATTAATCCAATATAAGGACAAGTTCCAAGGTAAAGTAGCTTTGGTTAATTGTTGATAACTTTGATTGATTGATTTTATTTACCTAAGTTAAATATTACTACCTTTAATATTTTTTTTGCAATTATTTTTTATAGAGAACGATGTCGACGACACAATCTTCTTCAAGTTGTTGGATAGTGCCGCTGGGTCAGTGGAAGAACGTTTGTTGGCAGAAATAATTCCGTCCGTTGGTCACCGATTTAAATTAATTTCAGCTGGTAGAGAGGTAAGCAGGTCAAGGTTAGAATTAGGTCAGGTTATCTCACTAGACTTTGCCTGTAGTATTTGCGGAAGTACTTTTAATTCCTTTCAAGTATATTGGAATCACATTAGAGAATTTCACGAAATAACGAAAGGAAAAGCTAGATTAAATTGTCCTTTGTGTACAATGATTTTCACAGACTCGGAAAATCTTCAAAAACATGTCAACAGAAAAGTTTGTCCAGTATTTCAAAAAATTTCAATTAAGTTTCCCCAGATTTCCCCTAATGAAGAGAATGGAATGGGAAGAAATATTGAGCAAGAATTATTTTCACCTGAGGTCATTCGTGAAATCCATGAGGATTACAAGTTGGCTTTTATAAAATCATTACAAATGTCAGGTGGAATTTCATTATCAAAATCAAATGAAATTTTAATGGCTGCTAATTCATTAGTAAATAGTATAATTGCAGTTGCCACAAACTTTTCTGTCAATAATACAAGTCAGGATCAACTTTTAACCCACCTTAATAGTTTAAAAAATCCATTTCCAAAAAATAGTTCATCCCAATATAAACTGGAAAAACTTTTAAAAGAACGATCTTTATTAGTCGAAGCAAAGGAAATAAAATTAGGGTCTCACTTTAAATTCGACAAAATTAAAGGAATGATGCAAGAAAAAATTGACAACGCTTACCATTTTCAATTATCTGAAACTCTACCGACAATTCTATCGAAATATTACAAAGTGGCAGATAGTATACAAGTAAATTCAAGTGCAGAATATTTTGAGAACTTTAAGTCAGGTTCACATTACAATAATTTCAAAAACAATCCTCTTTGCTTGCAGATTTATTACGATGATGTTGAAATTTGTAACCCGTTGGGATCGAAAGCTAAAATACACAAACTCGCGATGGTTTATTTTATTATAGCCAATTTTCCTAACCATTCAAATCGCAAACTTGAAAATATTTTTCCACTTATAGTTGTTAAATCCAAATTTGTAAAAGAATACGGAATGAATTTAATTTTACAACCATTGGTTTATGAATTAAACTCGCTGCATGAAAATTCTCAAAGACTAAGCTTTTTAGAAAACACTCCTTTTAGTCATATTCAAGTTCTCCAGTTCTGTGGCGATAATTTAGGGATGCATACAATTTTTGGCTTTGCTGAAAGTTTTAATGCGAATTTCAGATGTCGTTTTTGTAAACTAGATAGGGAACAAACTTTCACAGCTATTGAGGAGTCGGTAAATAGAAGGCGAAATTTAGAAAATTATGAAAGTGATTTAGAAGTTGGAAACGTTAGTTTGACGGGAATTAGAGAAAGGTCAATTTTAAATGATAGTAAAGGATTTAATGTTACAAATAATTTTGCCCCTGATATTATGCATGATATTTTGGAAGGAATTTGTGTCACTGAATTGAAGTTGTTTCTGAAACATGTTACTCAAAATCGTATTTTATCAGTTAGTGAGATTAACCACAGGCTATCGTCTTCTTTCAACAAGAATGGTCATGCAATATCAAAGTTTCCAGAAATAGATATTGCTTTTATTAATGGGGAGAGAAAATCTTGTTTTTCTGCATCAGAGACAAGCCATTTTTTCCTAATTTTTCCTGCAATATTTGGAGATAAGTTCAGCATGTCGAATAAGCACTGGGATTTAGTTTTAAAACTTCGTCGAATATTACGAATTTTATTGGCACCACAAATTAGTAGGTCAGGTGTGCATTTGTTAAGTTATTTAATAGCTGAGCATCATCAGGCCTTCATTAGTTTGACAAATAATAATTTAACGCCAAAGTTTCATCATTTACTACATTATGCTCACGCCATAGAGCAGTTAGGCCCGTTGAAACAATACTGGTGTATGCGATTTGAGGGAAAACATCGTCCTGCTAAAACAATTGGAAAAAATTGTTATAATTTTAGCAACATTGCAAAAACAGTTTCAAAGAAAATGTCACTTAACTTGGCATTTTTAGTTGGATGCGAAATAGAGGGGGATATAACTTACAAATCTGGCTCACTAATTGCATTTAAGGATATGAAAATATCTTTTGACTTTTCCAAACTTTCCAAAAATGAGTTGGACGAGGTGCTTTGTGTTGACTCGGTGACCGCCAAGGGTACCAAAATCAAACCCAATAATTATTTAATTTTGAAGGTCCCATCACTTAGTTCACAATTTTGTCAAATTATCATGTGTCTAGTTCACAATAGCAAAGTTCATTTAGTTGTCAGGCCGGTAAAATGTGAGGAACATTTTAGTTATTCGTACGTGTTTAAAATAATTGACTTTGATAATGCGTTATTAGTGGACTTGGACGCCATAGATTTGGAGTATCCATTAGTAATTGTGAATAATATTGAAGACCCGCAAGGTCATGGGTTCATTTGTTGTCCCATTGAGTTAATCTGAACAAAGTTTTGACTCTATGTACATATGTAGGCTAAAATAGTGTTTAATCTTAAAATAAGTAGATTTTTTACGCATATATTTAGTTAGATAAGCAGACTTTTGAAACTGACCAGCGAGCACTAGGAGATATGCCGGACGTTATTTTGGTAAAAACTATTACTAATTTTATGTTAAACTCTTGCGAATTATGCAATTCTGTAAAATCGTCTTAAATGTACATATGTTTTTTTACAGGGCAATTCCAGCGATATTGATTCCGGAAGTCGACACCGTCTTCCTAACGAGAGTGGACCGGAAGTTGAAATTTCGTTTTTATCTTTCGATCCCCTATTCGTAAGTAGATAGGATTGTAATACAATTTTAATTGTGATAATAGGTATTTAATTATAAGTTTCTGTAAATTAGGATATTAAGCAAATCATCTTAAGTTCTGACCAGGAAAAGGGGACAAAAAAGGGAGAGAAAATCTTGCAAGAATGTTTGGAATCCAACGCCATCACATTTGAAGTAAAAAGTCTGATTAAACGACGAATTGTTAATTATCTTGTGAAGCAATATACTTATTTGTAAGCTAAATTTATAAAATAATTAATGAATTAATAATCTACATTGTGATTAAGTTTTTTTGAACATTTGTATAGTCCGCCCAAAAATGTAAAGCAAAACTTGGCAGAATGTGTAGCAGCACAACTTTTTCAAAACTTAAGGCTTGAGCAACAGAGAGACATTGTGGTACTTAAATATAAAAACTAACTAATTTCCTAGCCGTTTTTAATTATTTTGATTTGTTTTTTTACAGAATCTTTTTTACCGCGAGTCCCGGATAATTAATTATAAATCAGATCTTCATAAACGAACCCCTGCGTCAGGATTAATTGAAGATCGATTGAAATATTTAAGGAGGAAGCACCAATGTGGGAGGGCAAGTATTCCCAAGGTTGTTAGCAGTTTAATGTCGGAAAGTATGTATTTTCTTTTGTTACTAATTGTGATAAAAAGACGCTAAAATCTATTTTTTATAATTAAAGGTCCCTGGGAGAATGAACAGGAAAAAAAGTCGTGGCTTTGCTACTCATCTACTCCCTTTGATCAAGTTGCCGAATATATGGCGCAGACCTTCCGATTGAGGTCAGAAGAGTTGCTGAAAACCGTTGACTTGTCGGAAACACTAAGCCAGTGGCCCCGGCTAATTGATACTCCGGGGATGGTGATATTTTAATTTCCATCAGTTCAGTTCAATTTAATGCAAAATTTAACTATTTGCTACATGTATTATTATTATTATTATTATTATTATTATTTATTAATCAAGCTTGCTTCTTTACAAAAGCTCGTTATGCCTGACATATTAGTAATTTCACATTACATGAATTTGTCGTAAATTTGTCAAATAACTGAATAAATTAGGTGATATGTATAAATATAATTAGAGACTTAGTACAGTATAGTTTAGTGTCATATATAGGTTATGCAATTATGTTCAACGAGTATAATTAAAATGTATTCGTACCTTTAGTTAAAATGTGGTTTCTTAGTTTTACTCTGAAAGTCTTCTTATCCGTACAATTTCTTATATTTATCGGGAGATCATTCCATGCACTAACAGGGTGAAAATGTATACTTCTCTCTCCGATTCTGTTTCTTGGATAGAAGTTACCTCTCAAATTAAGAGCGGATCTGGTTGGATATCTATAAAAAGTCATGCATTTTTTAATAAAACCTTCAAAAAATGGAATTTCGTTATTCTGTATTGAATATAAAAAACATAGAGATTTATAATAATAGTTTTGTTTAGGTAACATCCATTTCAGTTCGTTCTGCATTATGCTACAAATTGGTTCATAGCTTTTGCGACCTAAAGTGACTCTTGCGACATGTCGCACACCTTTTTCAATTATTTTCAAATTTTTTGCACAAGAGGACCCCCATATTGCAATCATATAGTTTAAAAGTGAAATTAAGCATGCATTAAAAACCAATATGAGGTTCCTCTGCGTCATTAGAGGTTTAAGAGGATATATTGACCGTGCTACATAATGGAATTTTCGGGATAAAGAATTTATGTGGTTATACCAAGACATCTTTGAGTCCAAAATGAGCCCAAGACTTTTTATCTGGTCTTTGCTTACTATTTTGACCCCACCAATGTCAATGCTAATCTGACCTACTTTACTCAGATTTGAGGCACTACCAAATACAATTAATTGACTCTTTCCCAAATTTAGTTTCATGCCGTTACGTTCCATCCAGTCAACCACAGCAGTCAAATCAGTCGTCAATTTTTCAATAATCTCATTTATCTTACTAGGGTGACCACTAATGCAAAGCTGACTGTCATCCGCAAATAACACCATGAGACAGTGTTGCACCACTAATGGAAGATCGTTAATGTAGACACAAAATACAAAACTGCCTAAAACACTACCCTGGGGGCATCCACGCACCGTGTAACGCACTCCGGAGATTTTCCCGTCTGGACCTTTGACAACTTGCGCCCTATAACTAAGATAAGATCTAAACCATTTAGGATTCACACCATACCAACTGAGCTTTTCAAAAAGTATTTCCCTCACAATGACGTCAAATGAACGCGACAGGTCTAATGCTGCTAATATACAAATATTACCTTTGTTTAGCTGTTCATATATGGATTCAGTAACAGCCACCATTGCTGTTTCGCATGAGTGCCTGTTCCTGAAGCCAAACTGCCCTCTATATAACATATTGTTGTCATCGAAGTGCTTAACAATCTATGAATGGGCCACTTTTTCAATAACTAGAGACAAGAAGGGTTGCACAGCTACAGGACGATAATGCGGTGGTTCAGTTGGTGAATCAATTTTTGGCAATGGTGTAATAGACCCAGTTTTCAGACAATTCGGAAATTCCTCTTGCATTAATGACCCATTCACAAGTTTGGTAAGAGCATTGCTTATGTTTGGACACCTGATCGTATAATTAAGCATAATTGGTGCAAGACCTGTGCTGTCATAAGCCGTCCTAGTTCTGGTTCTCAGTTTGTTGTATACACGTATTAAGTCATAAGTGGTTATTTTTGTAAATTTAAATTGTGCGTCATAATCAAGTCCAGATGGTTTAGTGGGGTGCACACAATCAAACTCCTCATTCGATACACCTGCATAAAAGTCATTGAGTATATCAATATCCAGCGGATTATTAGTTTGATTCTTCATGAATAGTTGTTTTTTGGTTTTCCATACCCCATTCTTGCTAATGTCAGCATCAATTTTACGCCTACAGTCAAGCTTAAACATTTTATTTATGTGTGCATTCAATATCTTTAGTCGAGTCCTGGTCAGATGTGTGGGAAACTTTTTATGCTGTTCGTACAACTTATTTCTGTTTAACGTAAGTAATTTGGTATCATCCGACATGTATCGAGGTGTCGATGATTCCCTAATAGATTTGGTCAAAATAGGTGCGTATTCGTCAAAAAGCTGTATGTGTTTGTGTATAAAAGTCTTACATGCATCATCAATTGTTAATAAGTGTAACCCCTCCAAGTCCATTTCGACTACTCTCTCCGCCAGCCTCCTAGTATCCAATTTACGATACGACCTAAACTGAATAACTCTTTTTTTCTTTGGTAACCGAGTTACTTGCCTGTCTATTATTGTGGATTCATGATCAGATATAAATGGTTGATTCACACAGGCGCCATTAATATTCTTATCGTCATTCGATATGATAAGGTCGAGTCTAGCCTTTCCTCTCGTGGGGTTTTGTATCAGTTCCAGCAGTCCCAGTCTGTTCAATACATTATTAAATTTTTTGATGTGAGATTTGTGTGTGTCCTCAAGGTGTATATTATAGTCACCACATATGTAAAAATATAAACCTGTCTTAAGGTGTGCATGAAAAATACTTTCAAATTTGTCTATGTCAGTATTTGTCAATATAAACTTGGGGCGATAAAGACATGAAACCATAAAAGATTTTTCATTACCACTTTGGAATTTCAGTGTCAATATTTCTATTTTTGAATTGTCGATGTCCATCTCCGCTAATTGCATTATCTTGCATTTATGATGATTCCTATATAGCACGGCCAATCCACCTCCCCCTCCTGTTCTGTCCAATCTTATAATTGCATAACCTGGAATAGAGATAATTTGTACATTCTGATCGAGTTTCGTTTCAGTCATGCAGAATATATCAATGTTATTAACATGCAAATAATCCGATAAATTAAAAATTTTATATCTTAATGAGTTAACGTTTAAATGTCCAATCCGTAATGGTCCTGTCGTCTTATCCTTAGGTATTGTAGGTTGAATAGTGCCCTGTAGTCAATCCTCCTCCATAATCGAGTTATCGCCAGCTTTATGCTGTTTCACCGCTCGTGTCTGTGATTCCGAAGACGTCGCATTATCGTTCCTCTTCCTCTTTGAATCCTGTCTGGTTGTCATCTTTGACGTCCTCTCTCTTGAGTAGTTGTCCTTCCACTCCTCCTGTTGTTTTCGCGTGAGATCACGACGCACGGCAATTGTTTTTAGATCTTGGTGGTCCTTTAATTTCCAGCAATTACGCAGCGCCTCCGACTTCTCCTGAGCGTTGCGTAGGGTGACCCGTAGTGGACGCGGGTGTGGGCTTTTCCGATTTGGATCCCCGATTCGGATATTTGGTAACGCTTCCGTCCACGCGGGCAGAATAATTCCCATTACCTTTGTCGCTGCGGCGATTCCCTCCTTTGTTTCCGGTACACCCATCATGACGATGTTGAGAACTTTATGTATTCGGCGGGTCTGTTCTTGCATTTCTTCCCGAACTTGAGCTATTTCAGAGTGCACATCTGCCGCTACTTCATCGATTTTCTTTTCAATCCTGTCCTGCCGTTTCTCCAAAATTGTTACCCTATCCACTATAGAACCCACTTTGTTTAACAGTTCTTTCGAGAGGTCTTCAAATTTATTTGATATGATATTGCTTAGGTTGGTGAAATTTGTCGCCAATTCAGCCGAACTATTTGTCATTGCGGAGGTGTCATGTGATTCGTCTTTCCTTGGGCTGTGCTGAGTAGGCATCCTGAATCAAAGTAAAGTGTGGTGACAGTATCTTTGAGGTATGACAGGATACAGTGGTTTGTCAACTTCGGCAGGACATATACTCAATGAATAGAACTTATCTGTATGTTTATAACATAGCGAGGTATGGTCCCAACTGGAAAGAGAACAAAGGTATTCCTCCGCCTTCCCTTCCAGAATTTCCGAAAAGTTTAGACCCGAATTTGCACCCCCGTCCCGATTCTACCAAAGATTTCTTACTCACTAATAGACTGAAAAAGACTTCGTGCACAGTTTAATATATTTCACTGCTTCCTACTCAATGTTTCAACAATAGAAATTATATTTTAAACAAGAGCTAAAATAATGTGTATACGTGCTTCTTTCGTACACATGTACATCATGTATATTTCGCACACATGTATTGTTTAATAGATTGACCAAGATTTCTCGGCACGACACCCGGGCGTAGGTGAAACTATGCTTCATAAGTGGGCGTCAATTTCTAAGCAAATTTGGAAGTTTGCAAAAAATGCAATACTGGACGTTCCCCGGGAAATTGGAATTATCCATAACATTAGTGACTGGTCTGAAGGTAATTATTATGAAATTATTTGCATTTATACAATGATTTAATTTTGTTAAAATTTGCTCTTCAGTTTTATAAATAATTTGAACGATTTTTTATATTCACAGAACAAATAAATATCGGCTCATTAATTGTTCTTCCGTACTTGTTATCAAAATCTGCGTATACTAAAGGCAGCAAAAAGAGGCGAAAAATAACCGCCGGTCAATCCTCGGAGTTTTTTATTCAATTTGTGAAAGTAAGTTTACTCTATTCTACTGATAATGTTGTTTCAAAATCGTTCACGGTGAGGTAATTTGCTCCTTGTAAATTTTTGCAGTCAAATGATGATTTAGAAGAATTCCGGATGTCAGAATCATTGAGGAAGCAGCCATTCATTTTATGTGTAGGAAATTTGAAGAATCTTGAAATTCAACAATCCTACATCATGGTGGAAAGGCGCCTAATACTAGCAGAATCTCTGGTCAAAGCAGTGGATATGTGTTTCAAGATATTCCACGTCCTGCAGCTACAATTTCCAGACGAGTGTTCTAGTGTTTGGTGCTTCTTCGACCACTCCGTGTTTCGAATCAAGGAAATTAAGTCGCCCTCATCGTCCGTTTTATCTCTAGCATCTCAAATTAATTTGGAAGATGGAGAACAAGACAATTAGCTCGTTTAGCATTAATTTATATAACTCACGTACTTATTTATGTTACAAAGATTAATTTTTCCGCAGTTGTAGAATTCGTGGCAATATTTCATGTCAGTATTAATGAAGCGCTTAAATAATTTATAGTTATTATTAACATAATTAAAAGTATTATTAATTACCTGATTAATGTAAATTGCGATGGGGTAAATATTAGTTAGTAAAAGTACGTTTTAATTATTTAAAAGGCATATTTTAATCAACATTTGGTGTAAACTTTGATCAACAAAGGAATAAATTTAATTAAACCAAAGAGTAAATTCTGGTCGTTCATTTTAACAATTTTTAGTTATTTATTGCATGATTTTTAGTTTTTGTTGTGCATTTTTTAGTTTTGAGTTGAGTTAATTTTATGCAACGTATTGGACAAATTTTACTCAATTGTTGTATAAAAGGATTAATCAACAGAGTTGAGTAAAAGTTAACCGATGGTTGTGTCATCCTCCTTTTTCACCAAGGTTGGACAAAATTTTACACAACCTTGGACAAATTTTGTACAATTTTTTCGAGAGTGTGATAATGCGTAAATTCGTAAAAATAATTTTACAAACTTTTACAAATTTGTAATTTGTTAAAAAGACGCCATTGATTTGAGTGGATTTTTTAAAAATTTGTAAGCAAACTTCCCATTGAAAAATTTGTAAAGTTTTCTAAAGGTTTGACGGTTTACAGAATTTACGGATTTTGCTATGTTACCAATGCCTGCGTGAATTGCATCTGAAGAAATCTGTGGTTGACTTGAGATGTTGTGGTTAAATTTATGATATACTTACTCAGATTTATTGGACATTTAGAATTTAATTTGTTTACGTGCACTCTAAAAAACTTGGTCATGTCTATTATATGGTAATTATAAAATTTGTTACCGACTGGTAGGAAATGCTTAACATTTTTTAGCCCTGGTTGCACATATTACCTCCATGGTAACAAGTTTACTACCAATTGGTATCAAATTATCATCATGTCGGCAGAGTCACATATAGCCACTGCCTAGTAATTGCCTTGCTATGGGACGTTCATAAATTATGTGACGCATTATGTTATACATACATTATTTCACATATGTATATTCATGCACACGATATCATTGGAGCTATAGACACTCCCCTTCTCCTACTTGCGCTACAATATATATGGGCGTCCCCTTGCCGGATTTTTTAGAGTGTAATTTTTGCTGAAGTAAGAAAAAGTTTTTCATGTGGCACGTACATATGCGATGGGTTACAACACATATTTACATATGCTATTCGAAAAGTTCTCGAGCACAGAACAGTAGGATTTTTTTTGTATAATAAATACTTATTTTTTCGAACTTGACACTACAATTAATAATTTGCTATTAATATGTATATTTGATAATATAATTACAGATTGAAAGCATCTTCACCGTTATCGCGAATTCTTTTTGGATCAGTTCCACCATCAGCAATGCTGAACAAATTAAGCTTACTGAACAATACTGTACGTAGATATTTATATTTTTCAAAATTCAATTCCTGATTCAAGTAATATCTAACCAACATTTCTAAACATATGTATGTACAGTGGGTAGCAAAATTAATTGTACGATAGAAAAATTCTTCTATCTCACTGGGTATCCACGATAATAGCTTGAAAACTTGCAAGGTGGCAGCCTAGAAAGGGCTACCGGTTCGGGTTTGAAAAATTTCAAAAGGTCAAAGGTCGCATTTTTTACCCATCAGCACACTTTTCAACTCCTAGTAGTTTGGAGTCTATATTTTTTCATCGATAGATCAACTCAATGTGAACATTTTCATATTTTTAGTGCACTTCTCTCTATACGATTCTGCTAACAAAGTTATGAATTTTTCAACAAAGTGAATTTCGTCAAATTCAGCATTGCATGCACAAGAGAGTTTCGAAAAATTGTTAAAATTCGCCAACTTATTTGAAAAAAAATATTTTGCTCCCTACCGTACATACCTACTTAAATAAATGGATTAAAATTCACCGCTTATCTGCCAGTTGGCAAAACTACTAAATAACGTTTTCAAATTTCCATAACTCTGCAGATCTTTCATCCGCATGTGGTCAAAATTTTCTGACACAGTGTATAAAATGTTCAGCCCAAACTGCATAATATTTCAAAATGTGCTTTGCGAATTTTGACAACAGCCAGGAGATTTGAATGGTTATGGAAATTTGAAAAACATAACTTTGTCAACTGTCTAATATTTCTAGACAATCTGTACATCGTCCTCGCTTCTATCGGCATCGTCTCGGGCGTCGTGAGCTTTATCCTGGGGTGTCTCCTGGTATACGGGTCTACCATTGTAAGTCGTCTAAACCCATACACTCTGAGGAAACCAATATTAAATCATTACTAGCCGAAGTACATATATATGATTCCACCGACATCGTTACCGTTTAGTAATTTTGCGGTAATGAAAAATGTAATACTTGGAAACAAACTAGTACACATAAATACACCAATCCAAAAGAAAAATACCGAAAAAAAATCACTGTTTACCATCAAGTTTTCCCCTAAATAGCAAATAAAAACTATATTTTTAGAAATTTTGGTGCCAGGGAAATTTATTAGTAGGTATATATTTTTGTGTGCATTTCATCGTCAACGGAAAATAAAATACTGCACAAATATTTATGTCAAGAGGTTAATAGGGTCAACCTCCTTTTCAGACCACCCTCGTATATTTGACTCTGTCGATTCGAATTTTTTTAGTGTACACGTGTAGCTTTTTGAGTTCTGTTAAAATTAAATACACCAATTATGTTCTTTGCAGCGTAATCACCGCTACATCCTGCCGTGGTTGTGGTGCAGCTATGTATCCCTTGTTCTACTCGCTGCCGCTGGGGGCATGGAGTTGTTCAATGTGATAGTTTATGGAGGGGTTCTTGGTGTCGGAAATTTTTTCCTTACCGTCATAATTATAATTATTCAGACATATTTTATTTCCGTGGTGAGCAGATTTGTTACAGAGTTGAAGGCAGAACCGGATAATTGAACCATTAGCAAACTGAGTGTAAATTTTCGTCACAAATATATGTATGTCAAAGTTTTGACATTTCTGGGAAAATTTACAATTTTTCCAATTCTATGTCCAATAAAACCAATGAAAAAGCTGTCGGTATTTACAAGGATATTTATGTACATAAATATGTACAAGGTTAAAACAATATTGATGTAAATGTAACTAAATCTAAAGTAAATTTTATGTATCTGGAATCGAAAAACTATGTATAAGAACCATTTTTTCTGATTTATGTATTTTCTGATTTATTTTGTTGTATTTGTGTAACATATTTGTTTACTGTGCCAAGAAAACATTATTCACAAGAATAAAATTAATCCTTGAATAAATTGCAGACAAATTATTTTGAAACGCGTGATATAATAATGCCTTCGTGGCACATTTTTAAAATATTGCGTGATAAGGTCGTCCGTGTATGTAAATGTGTTTGTTTTGTAATCGTTGTAATACTGGTGCTTGTATTTACAACGTCAGCAAGTTATAAGCTTCATATATGTAGTTAAGCTACATACATAGATAAATACATGCATGTAGATACATAGATTTAGTTGAATATGTGCGTTTACCTGGAGTCCTTAGAATCGTTTAGCCTGGTCGGGGTTAGCTTTGATTGGTTTAGAGGTTAAGCTAGATAATTGATGCATTATCAAAGTACATAAAAGTGCTTAGAGAATTATGCCTGCAAAAAAACTATTTCTTGCAAGTGTTTTATTTCATTACAAACTTTTTTTATAAATATTCATACCCATGTTGATACACTTGTACGAGGTAAAGTTTGCCCTTCCTGTCTTTCCCCTTGGTCGAATTAATCACTTTTTGTACTTTGTCCCCGGTCAATAGTTACATACCTAATAATTATTACTGATTAAATATTGTGGTTGTGTACTTACATAAGCAATATGAATGCATGTCCAATCAATAAATACATTCATATGACAAAATGCATATTACGGTGTGCACATAACGTATCACAATCCAGAGAACATTTTTACGGTGGTTTTCGCTTGCTTCTCATAAGTGAGACATGGGAGGGCCATATATCAATGGTCTCCCACGTCTGATATGCCTAAAGCGAGAGAAAAACCATCGAAAAATTTTCCCTGGACAGTGATACGTTATGTGCACACCGTAATACATAAAAGTAAAAATGAGATTCAAGCCAATCAATTTCAGAGTTCTTCTTTCACACTTGACGCAAATAAGTACAAACTATAATCTCTACAGGATGTAAATTCTCCTGGATAGGGAACCCTTTGATCCGCAGAAGGCAGGATGACAGCTTTACCACACATACACATCCTGGATGCGAAATAATAAGTACGTAAGTAAGGATATGTTAAGTCGGCGACGTCTACTCGACCAAAGATTTACTAAACGTTATCTAATTACTTTGCTAAGCCGTGCGGTTTCCGTTTCAAGACGCGCGTATATATTTATTAAGTTGAATATGTGAAAAAATAGATAATGCCCAGCTAATTTGCGAAGATTGTCTGATGGATGGGAGTATATATTTAAATGTGCACAAACATTCGCATGTCACTCTAGTTTGCACTTCTACGGCTAACAAAATAGTCTACACTTGCTTAGTAGTCAATTATACAAGATTTATAATTTGTACACAGTTTAATAACCAGCATAAAATAATATGCAGCACTCGTTTTTTTGCACATTGTTCTATGTTTATACATCTTTTTTACAATTCTTGTCTGTACAAGGCATGGTCTCAATCGCGCCAAGCATACCTGTAGCGAGAATCCCATCCACCAGTTTGTACAGTGGAATATCTTACACAATTGCCTGTAATAAAGGCCACGTTCATTTTGGTTCACTGCCTGGAAGTAGTGTTGAAATTTTTTATTGTGGTAGACATGCATCGAGTTTTATGTTTCAAGCCATATCTCCAAACACATTTATCTTGTGGAGGGGGAGATCAATCGTGACATTAGGCGAAGTCAACGGGACAACGACCATGCTTACCGTTAAGGAAGGCAATTATGGACGTGTAAGTTTTATTAAATAATGTAGTAAGGAAAGCAAACAAAAAACGTGCCTGAGACTAGGGTTGGTCATCCGATCCGATCGGATTATCCGAGATTATCCGACCACTTACTATAACATCTATCCGGTCCGACCCAATCCGACCATGTTGTAGCAAATGGTCGGGTAAAAATATTCGATCCGATCCGACGGATCGGATATTATCGGATCGTATGGGACCAACCCTACCTGAGACTATATGCAATGTACAGTATATGTATTAGTTTTAAACAACATGCGGAAATTTTTGCATCAAAATCATTCAACAAAATTTTGACGGCTTGAGGTACGGATGTCTGAGTATTCTCAAGCGGGGTATTCATTACGGGTTCGCATGCTCGCATGGTAATATACTTTAAATAAAATAATTTTAAAAAAGCTTGCTTAGGCGAGGCGCTGCTAAAAGTGAAAAACAAGGCCTCTGGCATATCTTTTAAATATCTCGTACCTTTATCATTGTAACAGGAGTTGGTGGCTTTGTCTCACCGCGAGGCCAAACATTTTTACCGTTTACCATACCACGACGTCTATTACTTACATTTTCTGCTAAGATATTCAATTATTGCTAATTAAAATTGTATCTATATGTATAAACGCTTAAACAAACTTATTGCTTCGAAAGGGTTATAAAATTGAGTGGATTTTGTAAAATTATTATGCAGAGGACCAATATGATCAATAATGTTTATTTAGCTCATAATTAAATTCGATAGTTAACCAGTAATTCAGGTAGCTAATAAAATTTGATGGATGTGCACAATTTTCAATAGGTGTTATGCAAAAAATTAAGATGCCGACGTACGAATAACAACGCGAGGGTATTTCCTAATTTTATTTACATATTAAAACAACTAGTTTTCAGTACGAACTAAAAAGTGATAAATGATAATTTTGACGTAAACCCAGATTAGTTAGGTTCTTGCGAATTCTTGAAAATATATTCTTTATTACTAGAGGCTTGGCGTAAAATGTTTGGCCTCGCGGTGATGCAAAGCCACCAACTCCTGTTACAATGATAAAGGTACGAGATATTTAAAAGATATGCCAGAGGCCTTGTTTTTCACTTTTAGCAGCGCCTCGCCTAAGCAAGCTTTTTTAAAATTATTTTATTTCATGAATTTTAGGTGATGCACATTTTCAGACAATTAATTGCACCTCAAAATTGTTAAACTTTTTGAAGACCGAATGTCTTGAATCTTTTTCATTACAAAATTAGTTGAAAATATGTACAGAGGGTCGCAAAATTAATTTAAAAACGGATTAAGGATCAATAATCCAAATCTTTAAATTAATTTAGCAGATAATAATTTTTCAGATAATAATTTTTCAGATATTAGGTTTTACGAGGATTAGTTATTTCATGAGAAAAATCTGGATTAGGAAGGAAGATTATTTAATCTGGATTAGATTATAAATTACAAAATGAACTTATAAACATTTAAATCCAAGATATATGCATATAGGATGTTCAAATTTAAAATTTGTAAATTTGACACAAAATGGAAATTACAATTGACCAATTAATTTGGCAAATTGCCTAACACAACTACTTGTATTTGGAAAATTGTTATATTGATAGCTAGTAGCAACCAACTAGAAATATTGTAATTTTTGGTTAGCAACATGAATGGTTTCAGATGCTTCCATCAAAACTTTTTCTGTTTTGGACCGATCTCAGTCGGATTTGTTTTAAGTGACGCACAACCGATTTCTGCATGATCAAATCAGGTTTTATGCATATAGTCCTGTGGCACAAGTATCTCAAACTTTGATTTTAAAGTTTCACATCCAAATTTGAGAGCGAAGAATAAAACTTTTCTATCGGGCATATTGAAAAACCACATCTCCTAATTCTCCTCTGCACGATTGCTCTTTACGCCATTTGCGTAGGATTAACCGTTTAGGCTCTAGCCTCGCTGACAGTTTCAAAGGGTGTATACGAAAGCATACTTAGGCTTCGCCGTAACCATGGTGACGCTTTTTTGCGGGCACCCATTGTTACTTTTGCCTCACCTAAGAAAAAAATGCTTTAGAGATGAGCAAGTTCGTAAGTGAATTTTCAAGCCAATTTTGTTGTTGCGAACTCATACCGAATACCTAGAAAAATTTAACAAAAGGCGGAAAGTTTTTGCTTCTGACTTTTCAGTGGACTTATCGTCCCCACCTTCTAATAGTGTGCTATCTAATTTTCTAATTCCTCCACAAAGGTAAAATACTAATCCCTAGTTGGCTCGCTCACGTTTGTGTTTCAGATTTCTCAAAGTACTGTAACCAGATCTCTGATTACCCCGTTGCACATTTCTGGTGAAGATATGGAAGCCAAGTATCAATTACGGTTTGTCAATCAGGGCGATAGCTTTTCTACTGTGTATGCAAAGTTTGATTTAACTTTGGATGATTCGAACAAGCTGGATGTCCATTTCGCATCTAACGACAGCGATGCTAACACGGATTTTGACGAAGGCAGCCTCGCATGGAATGAGACACTGTTTGCATTCAATATTCTAACGGCTGGGAATAAACTGACCGGGTATTTTAACAACCTTGCTTTTCCCGACCTTAATGAAACGATGGTCGTCTTGAAGCAGACCTTGGTTAATACGGGTCCCTACGGTTTGAGAAGTAGCGTAAGTTCCTTAAGTAAAAATTTCTACTTACGAATACCAATATTAGATCAAGCCTTTAAGGCTCCAAATTTGCTAAGAATTCAATTCACAAATATATTTAGAGTATGTAACTTATCAAATTTAAGTTAAGTAGATGATAAAAACGTCGTGTGAATACCCTAAATGATTTCGGTGACAATTTTTCGTTGAAATATTTTTATCAGATTTTAAGTTTCAATCATCGCCATTCCTTAAAATCCAATTTTTTCGACATCATTTTCTGAAGGCTTGCTTAACATGATAAACATTTGTAATGTTGTTTGATCAGATTGCCTTTGTTGGTGGTGAGTGTTTATAAAACTGTTAATAAAACATTCTTATAGTTTCAGATGGGGTGGGAAGGCTCAGGCAAGTACTTTAAAGTCAAAACCGGTGATTTCCGGGTGCCCTGTGGCGGATTCCCTATAAGGAACTTTCTTTCATCAGAATTCGCATTTCCATCCGCAGGAAAGTTTGAAATTAACCGGAAGGATGATATTATCCCACGATACAAAATGTCTTGTGTTCCGAGGAACGTTGGACTGGTAGAATTGACGAATCCTAACATTACCGGGATGAAAATTGACACTGTAATCCCACCAGGAGGAAGGGTTGAGTGCTTGATGAAGCACTGGGTTGTACTTGATGAGACGATTCCATTTGTTGCAAACTTTGTCGTCTCTGGTCAGGAGGACACCAACACGGGCATGTTTTCGGATCTGCACCCATTAGTCGTGCTGGCGACTTTGTCTAATCTTGGCATTAATGTGACGGATGCCGTATTGGATGAAGATTCGAATAGAGTCAAGATTAATATGGATGGCAGCCTTACTGGCCCTTTTCTTACACGGGTGGAAAACCCGGTGGCGAAGTGCGAACCGTTTGCCATTTGATTTAGTGTGGTGGGGATGTATTTATATAGATTCAGTAATTTGGAACTACATAAATGTGTATATACAAAATTAGCGTTTGAATTAACAATATATATATTTAATTACTTATGTATTCAATTAGTAATAAAACTTCTTGGGGCTGAAAACCACACTCAATGTAAAATTGAGTAAAATTTGTGATCACACTACTGGATGTATAAAATTTAGACAACGTGATTAGAACCACACCCACTGGGGGTGAGGTTTCCCAATTTTAGGTATTTCGCCGATACCCCCTTGTCGAGCTGAGAAAAATTATGTGTCACATGACATGTTTTCGTTAAAATCGACAATTTGCTTAGAGCCACACCCACTGGGGGCGTGGTGTCAAAATTGTATTGCTTCTGTTGAGGTCCCCTCGTCGAGCTGAGAAAAATGATATATCACATGACATGGTATCGTTGAAACCGAAAAGTCGCCGAGAGCCACACCCACTGGGGGTGTGTCATGTGACTATTAAAAACTTCCACATATAATATATGCCTTAGATTATTGTTGCACACCAAAATCTAATTCTTTTTTCTTCAAATTCGGCTCCTATGTATTTTTGGCCAAAATTTATTAAATCTGGCCCACTGTGCAGTGCATGCATATATGTAGCCGACACGCAGAGTTGTGAAAATGGTTTTAATTGCTTGTGAAATTAAATTATATTTAAATTTAATTTAATTGAAAAATTTAATTTAATAAATTTAAAAAACTGTTATCGTCATAGCATTTTTTGTACACATACATTTCTTTGTTCATTGTTTAATCCTTCTTTGTTGAAGATTTTTTTTAACTTGCATTTCAATACTTGCATACGGCTGGCTTAGGCGAAGACGATAAACCATTGGAAATTATATAACCATGCTAGGCCGGGAATTACATACATATGATGTATAGCCTTCATGGTTTTCAGTGTCATGGTTTTCAAACCAGTTTTTTTGTAAACTGATATCCATTAACACTCGAATAAAGGATGGATTGAATTGAATTATTTTTGAAATTTATTTATTCATAGCAAATATGACGTGAGAGATTTTACTCTTATTCAAGGTAACCCATCTTTTCTTTCAAATAAAACTTTGTAGGACTACAAATTTTCCTGACATGTAAATAACTTTTACATGCATACATATTTATTTTGTTAAAGCTGCTAAAGGTTTAATTGCAATTGAAAGATGATACAGAACTTAATAAATTGACAAAGCATCATATGGAAAATTTCACGTGAAACTTACATATTATTTGGTTACGTTGTCAATTTCACATCGTTTGACAAATCTGCGTCGGAGTGTAGGGAGTTTTCTGCTTTTCTATCGACCATAATGAAGTCCCGTTTATGAACCACTTAATCAAAAAGGATTCCAGGTATCGCTTATTCTTGAGATTGTTTATCCTGTAATGTTGTTAATTTAATTTACCATCCATTAATTTCATCATTCGGAGGAAAAATGAATGTCTATCAGCGGATGCTCTCCGCTTTTGACCAAATTTATGTGTCAATGGATCAAAAACTTAATTAAATTTTCAAAATGCACTAAGTAGATATCTATGTCGCAATGGTCACGTTTGGCAGAGATACTTGCACCCAAAGGGGACAAAACAAGCCGTATTTAAATTTCACAAATTTTACACGTTCCAAATTTGCTGCGCGTTTTCTCGTCTTCGGATACAGATATTTCTGCCAAACGTGCGTATTTGTCTAAGGTGTCCTTTGCAATAGTCAACTTAATTAAATTTGTTATCGATGGACACTAATTTTATGAAGTCAAAATTCAGGGAGCATACGCTGCTACGGCTCCGTTGTAAGTACAATGTACATAAATACTTACATGACCTGAAACTGTGACCCAGCCTTGGACGAGGGGGGGAAACCAAGGGAAAAAGCAGCTCCTTTATACGGATTAGACACAAAAGGTGTGGAGTATCGTATAATTCCTAGCATTGCATCTTGTTCAATTTTTGACACATTATTTGTAAATGCCGCCATGGCAACGTCGGTTTGCTAATATAAATTAATATGCACTCATTTTTTATGCATCGTTATTGGTGCGCACAATATTATTTTTTAAGGTATGGAATGCGTACATTATTTGCAACGATACTCATCAAGCCAGTATTCCACGCGGGAGGGTCACTGCTCGAGTCCAGGGTTCCGAAAGAATCGACTTCTGTGATTGTGCAATTTTTTAAATTCTTGAATTCCTTGTCCATAATGCGGAGTAAATATGTCGACAAGGAATCCGGTGTAACAGGAGGATCGACACGTTCTGTCGGCGGTTGGTGAGTTAAGACAAGTCTCGTTCTTAATGACCCAGGGATGATCCTGTGAAGTAATTCATGCTTGGTTTAATCAGGCAATTCAAGCAGTCTTAGATAACTTTTTAAAATCCCTAAGCTAGTAAACAAGTCGAGGCGTAATTAACCATTTAATCTGTGAAAGTGGCATATGTCGCTTTGGCTACTTGTCCATAATTCGTGACAAAGGCATATGTCATCCCAAAAATCCGGTTCATAACCCGTGACGATGACATATGTTGCCACAGAAAACCTTATCTTAATTCGTGACGTAGACGTTTGTCGCTCTCAGGCAAATTCGCCATAATTCGTGACGTCGACATTTGTTTTTAGCCCGAACCAAGGCTTATGTAATTGTCATGTCCGTCCGTCCGTCTGTCTGTCTTTCGGTAACTCTGGAACGAGTTGGCCGATTGACTTGAAGTTTTTACGAGATGCATATTGGACAAAGTTAGGAACCGAATTCGAAGATGGACAAAATCGGTCCACTGGTTGACCCGTAGGGGTCGTCTGGGTGGGTGGGGTATTATGCACCAAAACTTCGAAATTTTCGTAGAAAGCTGAAATTTGGTGCAGAGGTAGTAAATGGGTCCTAAAGGAAGAATATGAACTCAAATTGGTAAAATTTTCATATGGAAGGGTCCTATTGGGTGACCCATACTGATTTTTCAAAATCATCATATCATGCTGAAATTTGGCATTTAGTTTTCTTATGGCTCTTAATGGAAGAGTATACATTGGAATCTGAAAAATTTTCATCTGGAAGGACCCTAGGCTATGGGGTGACCCCACCAAGTTTCAGGAATTAACATGGAAAGCTGAAATTAAAACCAGAGATACTTACTGCCTTCTCATGAAATAATTTAGGAAGTTAAATATGAACAAAAATTGGCCAGAGGGACACTAGGGGGTGGTCCACACCGATTTCTAAAAATTTATATAATCAGCCAAAATTTAGTATGGAGTCAAAACATAACGTATCTCATGATAAAAATCTATTCAATTCCACGTCATATTCTTTCATTGCAGCAAATCATTATCAACTTTCATACAAATTTTGAATTTTCGTCACCCTTGACCCCCACCGGCCAACCACTTGACCGATCGAACCAGTCTTCGAACCCAAGTTGTGTATTTGGATGGTTTATATGTGTGGAAAATTTCAAGTCGATATAAAAAGAGTTAACGTGGGACCACAGAACTATACTATTATATCGCGTGGGACAGACGGACAACACTGGTACACAAGCTCTGGGTCGGGCTAAAAATTAAAAATTTTGCGAAAAAAGTTGTCACGGAGTACAATATTTGACTGGCATTTTTGGTTACGAATAATGATCCCTTAGAGATAAAGCTCCCTCACGAATTAAGGTAACTCTACTGTCGCCTGGTGACACGAATTATGGACATCGTAACTTTTACTTGTCCTCTTTAAATGGTTAATAAAATATCAAATTGTTAGCAAAACTTCCTGTTTTTTATAAAATTCAGAATAATATGTATCGGTAGAATTTATTCGTTAACTTAAAATGCTAACCAAAATTGCTGATTTCGGTCTAGGAAAAACTAATGGAGAAAATGCAAGTATAACAAATTGTAGAATTAAGGTCAGAAATCAAGGCATCGGCCAAATTGTTGTCAAAAATCAACTGTTGAATTGTTCATATTTGACGACATTTTAACAATTTTGAGACAGACTTAAAATTAGGAAACAAATTGCACATTTTTGCCAATTTCGCGAAAACTGCCTGTAGCAGCTCCGCAAATGTTGTTACGAATTTTTTATGCGCTCAAGATTACGGAAATTTTAAGTTACAAAGGGCTGCTTGAACTGCTGCTATATTTTAAAAATTTCAAACTAAATAACCTCCCGCAAATAAAATAAAGACAATTTATGAAAGCTTAGGAAAGTCTAGGTTTTCTTCTTAAAACGCAATAATTTTGGGGAGTCACTTTAAAATACAGACAAATATTTCCTTGTGCTAGTCATAATTTGATTTCCAGATTTTTTGGCCTTAAATTTCCTCGAATTAAATGAAATGAATAATCCACTAAATGGTTTACCTCGACTGTGGCAATATTATGGATTTGGACGATCTCTGGAAACAAGGGTCATAATTTTGATCAAGTTCAACGTTGAAATTTCAAATACATATGGGAACGTCCTTATATTACGTCATCAAAAAAACGTCGATTTTTAGGACACCCATCCACCCCTTCCTTATCCTACTCATGTTAAGCTTAACACCAGCAAGATATGAGACCCAGAACCGCCCTAATGACATAATATATGCACGTTCCCTATCTGTATTTTTAATATCCATACAAAATAGGTGATTTTTAAAGGTGACGAGTACATGTCCAGCTTTGCATTGACATATGCCCTTAATACACGCCGTGTCCTTGTATTTACAGGTGTCCGTGGGTTTACAGTGATGCATGTAATCGATTGCTGCATTCTGTTGACTTCCTGTTTTTTGTTAACAAAGTTCAATTAAAGTGGGAACAATTAAACAGAATTTTAGAGATTTAAACTAAAGTTTTATGTATGTGCAAGGTGTACTGAATTTTAGAAAATTTAAAGCTATTTAGGGTCATGGTTGACATGTCCGTACTTATGTACAGGGATGGGCAATCCCAACATTTTCGATGGATTACGGATTACGGGTTACAGATTAATTAATTTAAAAGTAATCGTGGGATTACTGGATTAAGATTATATCGTAGCTGAAATAATGTGGATTACTTGTTGGATTACGGGGATAAGTTAATGACGTGGATTAGGGATTACGGATGACAGTAATCGGATTACAGATTATTATCTAAATTACAAAATTCTAAAATTATTATTGGATTGAGATAAATCGATATAACGAGCGAAACAAACCTGACTTATTAAAATTTAGTATTAACCGTGCTAGATATAAATAATGCCATATCATTTTTACAATTGTGCGCTAAATACTGCGCTTTTAGAAATCCAGTATTTAAATAATACCAAATTATTTTCAAGTACATGCATATGACTCCATCAAGCTAGATATTTTATATTTTACAACTTTAAGAAATATAGTAGTTAAATGTAAAATATTCTTACGAACCTTCACTGCCAACATGTCGATAAACTACAGAGATTAAAAGTATCACGATGGAAGCACGAAAGCAACGCCACATTTTGCTGAACACTTGTATGAGCGAAATTCTAAAAAAAATTGTGATGCAAAATTTACCTGCGGTAATGATTTTATTTCACTTTACATAAGATGTGAATTGATAAATTAGCCTGCGTGCAAAATTTCAAAGAGGAATTTAATTTTAATATCACGGAATATACGTATTTGAAATGGTTGAAGTACAATGGTGGTCATGGCACGATACATGTATATAGCAAGGAAATATCTTTAGTCAAAATGAAAATTTAATCAAAATTTTTAGATTTTTCTGTTCATTAAAAAATTATTTTGAAAAATTTATTCATTTACATGAGTACATATGTACGAAAAATTGTATGTAGGTTTATAATTTTTAATCCGTCTTGGTTGATATCGCAGCTTAAATCACCTGCTTTCTGTATGCAGGATTAGTGAACGACTTATCTAAATATATGCATAGGATTACAATTTGTATGCATTCGTTACTCCGTATTTATAGAGGTTCTTTTTTAAAATGTTATGCAACGATTGCTTACTGCGTGTTTAGTCAAAAATTATTTAAACGAATGCTAATTATTAGATAATACTGCAAGGCCAGGAACTACCGATTTTGCAAATTTATTCACTCATAACAAATAAGAAAGGACATATTTTGCTGGTTAAACGTGGCCAAAATTAAGTAAAGTATATAAGGCAACAAGTTTTCATAACTTGTAGTTAGTTCTTGGATATTTGTTTCCGTCGCACTCTTACATCGTTTGACACACCTGGGTCGGAGTGTATGGAGTTTTCTGCTTTTCCATCGACCATAAAGAAGTCCCGTTTATGAACCACTTAATCAAAAAATATTCCAGGCATCGCTTTTTCTTGAGATTATGTATTCTGGAATTTTATTAGTTTAAGCTTGCATTAATTAAACTCTCCCACTGGGCTTAAACTTTCGTGTTGTCCATTGTTTCTCTAAGGAGAGCCTTAAGAGTAACCCTGGTCAACGTGAAGGTTTAAACGACTATATGTAGTACCCAACAATGGATATCTTCCATAGTATTCTCTCAGATTTTGACCAGTAATTCTCAGTAATTGATCTTAAATGACGAAATCTTGCAGTCAATTTCATTCAAATGACAGGAAACTCATTTTCATTCACTATCATAATGAGTCAAATGAATTACAGTGAATAGGTATGATTGGGAGATAGTGTCTTTTTCACAAATTTCATAGCTATTAAATTTATGATCAATTGACATTAATTAATTTGGTAAAAAACCGGAGAGCATACACTTGGAGACCTCTATTGCAAGGACATAAGTTGCGTTATACATTAAGATTACGTATGTACGTACATGGCTTGAATCTGCGACCCTGCTTTGGACGAGAGAGGGAAACCAAGGGCAAACTGAGCCCGCTTGTACGGATTTGATACAAAAGGGGTGGAATATCTCATAACTTTCCTCACTTCTACGTCAATTTTGGACGCATTAAATGCCGCCATGGCGACGTCGGTTTGCTAATAGTTATTTTTTAATGTAGATTACTCTCTTAGAAATGCAGTATTAAAATAACACCAAGCGGTATTCATATATTTACGACGACTCTACCAAAGTGGTATTGATAAGTAGAACAGTGTATTTATGTAATATAGCTCGGTATTAAAATGTTACCATATCCGTAGCAAATTTTTACGGACCGGTATAATTTTAATACCAAGCGGTAACACAGAAAATTCAATGTAGTACCAGCGAGACTACACCAGATTTCAAAGAGTGGTGCAAAGCGCACCAAAATTTAAGACATTCTTATACATAAATTACATTATTTGCAACGATGCTCATCAAGCCAGATTTCCACGCGGGAGGATCACTGCTCGAGTCCAGTGTTCCGAAAGAATCGACTTCTGTGATTGTACAGTTATCTAAATTCTTGAATTCCTTATCCATAATGCGGAGTATGTCGACGAGGAATCCCGTGTAACAGGAGGATCGACACGTTCTATCGGCGTCTGGTGAGTCAAGGCAAGTCTCGTTCTTTATCACCCAGGGATGATCCTGACGTGAAGTAATTTAAGTTAAATTGAATATTTCCCAAATTTTTAAAATATGTAAATCATTAGCCAAAGCTAAATTTATTTCTTGATCTAAATCGCTAACTGGCTAGAATGTGGTTTCCGTAGTGGGATGCGAACTCGCGACCTGCGTTTTTCATGACGATTACTCTAACAATTGTGCTATCAGGACCAATTAACGCGTTCCGTATTTAATTAAAAAGCTAACGATTGAAAATTTATAATTTCTAGTTAAATACAATTTATAGGAAAATTTTGTTTCACAAAGCTCAGGAATTTTGTAATCACTTGAAAATACAGATACCAACTTATATTTTGATTTTAAAAATTTCTTGATAATAAATTTCCTCCAATTAAAATAAATGTAGAAATATTATTTACCTCGACAGTAGCAATATTATGGATGGGTACAATTTCTGTAATGAGGGTCATACATAGATTTATTTTGACAAGATTGATGTTGATAAACGAAATTTCAAATTGTATTGCATAAAAGTTTTAAGTAAATAATTTCATTACCCAGACAAAGTATTTGACCATTATAGGTGGCTAGGACGTATCCAGCTTTGCATTGACAAATGCCATTAATACATCCAGTGTTCTTGTATTTGCAGGTGTCCGTGGGTTTACAATGCTGCATGTAATCGATTGCTGCATTGTCGTGGCTTCCTGTTTTTTATTAAATTTTTAAATAAATTATGTAAAGGATAAAATGAATTTAAAAAAGTGTCCAAAGTTTTGTGAGCTGTAAAGCAGTTTGGTTCTTGTGAACTTAAGTACAAATTTAGAATTAATTAAATATATAAATTATTGAAGGAGTGAAATACATAACCTGTAAAAATAATGAGTTCGAGAAAGCTAAGTTATTAAAATTCAGTATTAAACATGCTCCAATATGGCAGCATATTTTTTAAAACACCTTTATAAACTAAATAATAGGGGTGTTCATAAAAAGAATTCACAACTTCGGTAAAAAATTTGGCTTGAAAATTCATTTAAGAACTTGCTCAATTTATGAAGTCGGCAAATTTTTATGTCAAAATGAATTTGCGATGCGAAGATGCGAACTAGTAATGAATACCCCAACCACATAGCCTTGGAGATGAGCAAGTTCGCAAAACCAATTTTTTGCGAAATTGCATAGTTTTTCTTATAACGTGGATGTTATGTTTGACACATTTTCAGGGGTTAATAATTACACATTTAAAGAACTAAACGAACCTGCAACGCCAACACGTCGATAAGCTAAAACAGCCATCAAAATGATCGCCAAGGAATGAAGAGAAAATGACATTTTGCTTACCACTCTTAGGAATGAAATGTAAAAAAGTTGTGATACAAAATTCGCATATTATAACAATTTTAGGAATTTACTTCACATAGATACATACAAATGCTGTACTATCCGCTTAATAAATTGGGAAATCAATATGCGTGCAAAATTTCTAAAGGAATTTGTATTTTATTTTTACACAATATGTATCATTTATGCACGAAATAGTTAATGTAACAATAGTAGTCATGCATTCCAAATCAGTAAAACTTACTCAAGGTTGAGCAAAAAAGAGGATTACACAACCAAAAACTAAAATTTGTCCATCGGTTGGACAAATTTTGCATAACGGTTGGACAAGGCTTACCTTTTGGTTGAGTCATCCTCTTTTTTGCAGAAGCTCGAGTAAATTTTACTTATTTTTATTTAGAGTGTGCTAAATGCGACCTTAAATAGTAGCCAAATTAATTACACAACTATGTACGTATACAGGTACTCGTGTATGAAATAACAAGTGTTAAATTCCGTAAAAAATCGTTGAAGTAAACTTACATAAATATTTTAATTCATGAAATTCTACACCTGTTGAAATTTTTTAATTATGTATATTTAGCTGGGTGCCTAATCAGTCAGGGTAGTAACATCATGCGCAATCGCCTCAGTCCAAAGTTGAATTCGAAAAGGAAGAATCCGACGGAAGATGTCAGTACGCCAACGCCATAAATTCCCAGAGCGGTGTAAACTTGGCCCAACTTAATCGAGGTGAACGGCATCGAACTAACTTTGCACGGTGACGCGTGTGGGATCCACTTGGCACGAAGACGACGTCGAACCCCGGTTTCGTCAAGTTTTAAAAGTCTGGAAATTTAAATATTATTTATATTCAGAAATTTATTATGATTGATTTTTATTAAGTTTTGTAAATTTAAAAGGGTTTAAAGCCCCAGACTGAACACAACTTCTGAAACACAAAAATTTTCTGGCATTGAATCCAGAGTGTATTAAATTGGCGAAATAACGCTGAATTTTTGTTTCATTTCAAATTTTGAATGCAATTTTTTTGTACTTCGAAATTTTTGTGTGGTTTTAAGAAGTTAAAAAAATTAGTTTGCATAGACAAATTATGCTCGAAGTTCTGAAATAAAGTTAAGGAGTATGTACATTTTCAGAAACCTAATCCTTCTGTTGTTGTTTTTATTTAATTTTTTTATGTTCCGGATTATCCAACAATCGGATATCCGACTCATCTTTGCTCTAAACCACAAACTCTTGCGAGTTTTTTGGCACTAATTATTCAAACTTACCCATAATTAATGGTATCCTTGAACCTCGACCTTTTCCGCATGAACATGGACCAGGGGTACTTCAAGTTGAAGATGGAAAGGGCACTGAACGAGCAGGGGACTTGGCCTAACATGTCAACCACGGTCGTCACGGCGGTCTCCTCGTCAATTACGTACGCCGTGGGTGACTCCACGACCTCCTTGATGGCATCTTCAAACGTGGTATACACATAGTTGGCCGACTGGATGCGACCAAGCAATTTCGCGATGGCGGGAATGTGCAAGAGCGCCTAGAAAGTATTGGATCACACGTAAACCTCGTGATAGTGGCGGTATCATTTGAATTTTGACAATTAATCTACAGATTAGTACGCCTGTTGTAAATAAATTTATAGTTTTGCACATTTCGCAAAATTTCTAATCAAGCTTGAAAATTGAAGAGCAGATTTCGATGAATATTATGTACTAGATTGAAACCGATATAAATTAATTATGCATTTGAAGATGGCCAAGAAAAATTCCTTACCTTTAACATGACAAATATCGACGAGGAGGTTTCCCCCATTTCGAGCAAAATCTTGTAATCCGAATCGAGTAGATTTTGCACAGAATTAATCGAAAATCGATTAACCGTCTTGATCGAAAACATGTTCCCCGTGTAACAAGCCATCAGGACAATTAGACTAATGGAAATAGAGAAGAATGCGATCCTAGTACAACTCCTGGATATTAGGGGACATGCTAAAAATGTGAAAGTGGCAAATTTATGTACATAGTTTAATTTTGTAGTAATGCAATTCACGCATGTCTTGATAGCATTGTAAAGTACTTAAATTCTCTTAATAACATTAATTTATCCAATGCATAATTCTGACAAGGCTCATGGCCCACAGAAGTACAAGTTACTTCTCATTGTAAAGTACTTAAATTCTCTTAAAACTTTTGCAAAATTTTGCAACTATTTTTCTTAGCTTGCTAATTTATGCAAACTTACAAAAAGGTATGTACAAATGACTGCGTGAATGGATTCAAAAAAGTCTACTGCATTACAAATCTTGGCGTGAATTTTTTTTAGTTGCAAAAAAATAGGATATTTTTATGTACCTTTCTGTAGCAAGATTGACGCCGTATGAAAAAGCGTATCCCGCCAGGATAATTTTGCAATGGCTGCGATAATTTGTAAAATGCAGAAATAAAGGAGACAGACGATACTAATTCCGATCCAAAGCCACCTGCTGAACGGGATGCTAAAGACGTCGTCAATGTTGGATTCGTGTTCGTGATTTATAACTGCAATTATCCTGAAAAATTAATCCAGCAAATGATTACCAATTGTTGAAGTCGTGCAAAAATAAGAAATTCAATGGTTTTCATACTATATAACTCATTGTAAACAACGTAGGTGTTTATTACAAGTTCGCTAATGTGTGTATGTATGTATTCGCATCGCAGCATAATTTTGAAAATTGCTAAATACTAACCTTGAAAATCGCAAAGTATTTCACGCTAATTTTTTTGCGAACTTGCAAACTTCTTTTTGATTGTTTGATAACGTTTTTAAGGTTGTAAACTCGTACGTGTTGAATATCTGGACAAACTTTCGTATTTTTGCAGTGAAACATTTTTTAAGTTAGGCTAAATTAAGTTGTAAATTAAAAAAAACTATTTGTCCAAATCTGGATTTTTTTTATCACGGAAGTGAGATTTATATTCTTAATGCGAAAAATAACCTAAGATTGCACGTATACTTTGTGTATGAAATTCTTCTCTATATATTTGAGCTGTGGAAAGAACTATGCAAATATTTAGTCGGCGAAACACTCGACCTACTTTGAGTTCCCAATGACAAAAGTGGGGTCAATCAATTTGGCACGTTCATAATAAAGGCTGTAGGAGCCCAGGAAGATGTCCACCCCGTCACCAACCTCGGCCAGGGAGAAGTTGTACGGCCCAACCTCTGGGACCATGACGTAGCTAGAGGAGTTAAAATAAAATGTACACTTTTTAGCCATGCTTTCACCACGTGACTAAATTAAAAATAATGAGCTGTTTGTAACTGTGTAAATTGTGCAAATTTGTTAAATCTACAAATAATGTACAAATTTATGTACACATTCCATTCCTTTAAGACAAAAGGAATCGATATCTTTAAGTGTGTGCATAAAAATTTATAATGAGACAACTCACGCCAAACTGTGTAATTTGTGCAAATTAATTAAATTCGCAAACTTCGTATGCTTAAGATAGAAACAATCGATTAATGTCTGTCTGTGTTTGCATGAAAACTCGTAATGATTGACCGAAGTTTTACAATTGTAAATTTAAATATATGCTATGTAAATACATTCATATGAACACACAAATTAGTGATTCCTAATTCACGCAAATTTTCCAACTGTGTAAATTGTTAAAGTTCTTTTATCTAGAAATTACAACAAGTATTAATACATAGATTTATGCGAAAAAAATGCAATCTCAGGTAAATGTTTGCATATGCACTTATACATACAACAATACGTATGCAAGAGGTTTTGCAAATGGGAAAATTCCTCAAATATGTGAGATCTATAAAGTCTGCATGCGAAAGAATTAATCGATATTCTTGTGCGTATGTAGACACCCTCCTAATGACGCATTTAAAGCCAATTTCTGTAACTGTGTAAATTGTTCAAGTATATACATACATACACACTAAAGCTAAAATAAAGGTTAGACCATTGTGCATAAGTATGCAAAAATGTCCATACTTATATGATAAAGTGGTTAACGCGAAGTTTTGCAATATTCCTACCTTGTCACAGTTAGTAAAAATGGAAATGTTCATGACCAATTTTCCCAAGCAGTACCCTGCATTTTCGAATCACGAAGCTAACATGAGATAACATGGTATAAATAAAATCATATGAATAAGTTATTAAATTAGTTCGTTAGTAAATTTCCTTTAAAAAATGAACCCTTTTTCTTAAAAAAAAAACGTTTTGCGAAATGTTGCAATGTTCAACAAGTTATGTTGATACGTTAAATTTGCGAGAAAAATACGTATACATTTTCACTGTACGTTACTCGAATGAATGAATGACGCAGTTCACGTAGTCACTGGTAACTTGTAAAATCTTGCAAAAAAGTGCAAACTTTTACAAAATAAAACAACGATATTGAGATCTGAATAAGTTTACTAAAATTTGCAGGCAGAGTTTCCTTAGAAATATTCGTAAAATTTTGTAAAAGTTGGTAAGTTTACAAAATTCACAAATTTTAGAATATTGCCAAGAACTCCGTGAATTGCCTGACTAAAACATTTACCTGAATCCGAAGATGAGCTGCAAGTTTCCGAAAATCTCGGCGGCATAGCCACCCGTCAAAGAGTAACTTACAAGCCCCAAGTTTTCAGTCTTCTCAACAGTTACGTCATACGGGTAGAGATTGTTATACTGAAATTGATTAGCAATTATTAAATAGTTACTTAGGGAAATATTGACACGCATTTTCGCACACAATCCAATCAACTTCTTAAACTTGTAAAGTGTTGTACAATTTTCGGGAAAGGTGAAATTGACTGATTAAGCTACTGTAGAATGTATTTATAGACACATACGAAAAAAACTTATACAATAATTTGCAACTTTACAAAAGTTGTATGCTTGCAAAGTGTATTTATTTATACTTTAAAAAATAATACATTACCCTGGTCGTGATTCGCAAAATTATTCCTGTTAAATTTTTTATTATCATATTTATCACGAACTATTTTTGCTTAAAGTAGAAAGTTAATGGTTTGAAAATTTGATTGGTGTAGCGGACCTAACAGAAACCTGGGTACGCATTGACTGTCAACCAGTCCCGGAGTAGTAGCGAAATGCACATATATTATTTTCACCCATGTGCAGTCGTTTTACATAATAGTTTATGTAGGTGGGAAATCGGTCCAGGTGCCGGACAAAGGTAAGGATTTATGGTTGCATACATACACGATAATGATAATTGATTGACAGGAAATAGAGTTAGCGACCCTTATTAAGTTAATTGTGTATCGTCGCTTCATTGCAAGGGATGCGAACTTGTCAGGTGTGAAATTTTATGCACAAGTGAAAGTTATGTATGTATTTTCATACGATGTGATTACATATGTCAGGCAGATCGTTACTTGATACCAGGATGGGATTGAGCTTCAAATCAATCGATATGCTATGCATGCATAATCCTTCGCCTCCTATTTCTCCACGAGTATGTAAAAAGCGTGAGCAATGTGCATATGTATCGCAAGCTTGACCAGGTGACCTGAATGATTTTAGAAAGAAAACCATAGGAATTTTGATGTTTGGGACCACAAAAAATTAAGTAAATACATAGGTTATATAGAATATTAAGAACTATTGACCTCTGATTTCATTCCTTAAAACGATGTATGAATGTTTTTATCATGTGTATATTTATGTATGTTCTGGGGTGGCACAAAGTGTCAGATTTGGTAAAATAATATTCCCTCAAATTCTATCATCAATTTTATTCACGACCTTAATTTAATGGGTCAAATAAAATGTGGGCATAAAGTAATGCAAAATAATAAATGCTTACATATATAAAGCACATGATGTTCAGTTTTGTAAAATATGACCAATTTGCTCTGATCATGTTCCACATAAGTAAGTAATTAACTTGTGTCTTCATATCACATGTGTACGAGTGGTTACTGAGATCATAGTGTCCTTATCAATTGTCAATGCTCTTATCACTCTACTCACATCGTGAAAAGTGTCACATTCATAAAAAATGTAAAAATCACAGTCAACCTCACCTACACAATTCTTAAAGTAGGTCACGTTATAACCCATATTTATACTTCATGTCATCATTCTTCTTATCTGAAGCATATGTTTTTGTTTTTTTATCAAAATAAATCGACTCTCACAAAATTCAATTTACACACACTGTTATAAATCTGGTATAGTCAGGCAGGTATTAATTTAGCGGTGTTAAAGTTGGTACTACAATTATATTGGTCCGTAAAAATTTGTTACCGATTAGGTAAAACTTGATCTTACTTATCAATACCCCTTTTGTAGAGTCATACATGGGTATATGAATACTGTTTGGTATTTTTGTAATACTGGATTTTTTAGAGTGTGCCAAAACAGACATGACGACAAAATGAAGTATAAACGCAACTTTGCAATTATAATTATCCTTATCAAGTAATATATCCATACTCATAAAATGCACCTGTTGCCAAACGCATTCTGCCAATTTTTGCAAAATGTTGCGATTTTTCTTCTTAATTTTGCATCTTACTAATTGCTTTTTAACCTGCTCTGCAAACAATGGTAACGAAATCGATTCTTCTTTCACCTTCGTACCAATAATAATCCCCACATTAAAACCACTCGGTCTCGATGAGCCATACGTGAACAAGTATTGCAACGAGAATTTTCCCCCGGGTTACGTTTACTACGGCTGCTGTTCGGAAAAGCATAAGAAATCGCATTGTTTTTTAAACGACCACAGATCTCGAGATGCATTCTGCGAGACACAAACTTTACACGACAATCGGTTCAGTTTCAATTGTACGAAGTCGTTACTGGATAAGAACTGCACCCTGCCGTGGGGGACGTGTTATTGTTGTTCGGCGTAAGTTAAACTCAACTAAATTAATAAATAAATCCTAATTAAGGAAGGAATCATCTAAATATTGTGTTTGTTAGAGATCCCCTCACGAATTCAGGGGGCGGAGCGCCGGATCCACCACAATCCGTTAATCTGACAGGTACGTATTGTCTCCACCTTTTTTGAGTTTAAATTTTTTGCAATTTTATTGAGCTAGAAAAATTCAAAAGACCTTGCAGAATATAATAGTTTCAAAATTTTTGGGAAGCATATTTTTGGAAATTGAAGTATGCAAATGTGTAATTACGATTATAGACAGGTGGTTCTTTCGATTTTTTAACATCACGTCAAAAACTCAAAACATCAAACCCATATTTGAAAACAAATTTGAAAATTCGAGCATTGAAAAATACATAAATATGGGTGTGCAAATTTTTGACGTTCAACAAATTAAATATAAAATTTGTCGACACAAAATCTAACTTCTTCCTGGACGCTGACGCATTATGAATATATGTAATTGCTTATCATTAGACCCATCATTGTGTGGAACCATCCGCACAAACTACTTTTTCGGTGGGAACCACACCTTGGTCTATGTACGGGAACAAACCGGGTATGAGTTGCCCCTATTTGGCTCAATTTCCTACGCCTTAAAGGGTGGGAGGAAGTTTGTCGATGTGATGAATCCCAACTGTCGTATAAGCGTTTGTCATACGTTTAAGCAGTATGACGCGGAATGTCTCCACTTTACTAACGGGGGACGAAATAGTTACACGACGGTAAAGATGGAAAAATACGTAAAGGGTGGGCATAAAGGAAGTGCCAACACTTTTCTGCTCTCTAAATACAGTTGTGTAAAATTTACTTAAGCTTGAGTAAATTACAGAATGACACAATAATTGGATGAAATTTGTCTAACTGTTGGACAAATTTGACAAAAAGTTGATCAACCATGGCACAAAGTTGGCAAAATCTTTTACAAAATGCTGGATACATTTTATTCAATTGTGCCATCCTCGATTTTTCTTTACCTTGGATATTAAAAAGAAACTTCATTTGGAGTGTATTGAAATCTCAAAATGTGATAACTCAGATAGTTTTAATAATCAATTGACAATTAAGTAAACGAGACATGGTGTAGTACATTTATGACCACCCTTTAATTAAATTTGAACCTAAAAATGCAACCAATTTAATAGTTACATAAATATTTGTATTAGGATCAAGATTTAGAAACAGTTTCAATAAGCTGCGGTTGTTTGGTAATGCCATCGAACTCAAATACATGGACAAAAGTCCCTGATAAGCTAATTTAATGAGTAGCTTAATTTGTCAGAATGGACCACATGCTACAAATGATTGCACAAAACCGGATGATATCGTGCAATCTGACGTGACCACTTGTCTACCTCAAAACCTAGATGGAGACACGTGTGCCATACTGTATCAAGAGTTCGGTTGTCAATCTTGTCTTTATGACGAGATCCGTCTCCATGAAAACCGGTCTTCGTTTAATCCGAGTAATTTTGCAGTGGTCCGATCACTTCGCGTCAACTCAGGTTGTACCGTGCGGGCTTCGACTGACCAAGATTTCGTCGAATTTAACGGGACAACGTCCATCCTGCCGGAGGTACACATTTACATAAACATCAAATCTATATTATAAGCTGGAAATGTTTGTCTGCAACGGAAGTGAAAGCAAATGTTCTGTAACGGAAGTGAAAGCGAAGAAAGTTTAGTTTCAAATGGCGCGAAAATTCAAAAATTTTAATTTTAAAAACAAATGTGAGAAGGTGGGGGTTATCGGGTCTTTATTGGTCGATGGTGGTTATCAGAATGTTGCGGCCTGGTGGTGGTTATCGGAAATTTGCTGCATGATGGTGGTTATCGGGGTGTGCCGGCCTGAAGGTGGTTATCGGGGTGTGGCGGCCTGATGATGGTTATCGGGGTGTGGCGGCCTGATAGTGGTTATCGGGGTATGGCGGCCTCATGGTGGTTATCGGAACTCTGCTGCATGATGGTGATTATCGGGGTGTGGCGGCCTGATGGTGGTTATCGGGGTGTGGCGGTCTGAAGGTGGTTATCCGGGTGTGGCGGCCTGATGGTGGTTATCGGGATGTGGCGCCCTGATGGTGGTTATCGTGGGGTTTCTGTAAATTTATGGCACTTCTGGTGGTTATCCGGAGAGGTTATCTTATTGGATTCCGCTGCCATTGCCGTTGCGTACTGCTTCAGGTAGCCTGTTTGTGGGGACTAGATCACTGCCACGTTTCCTGTCATTGGCAATGGCAGTGCCACTGGCAGACTGGGCTGAAAGAGCCGACTGAGCCAAGAGAAGTGCCAGACAAACTGCCATTGTCAATGGCTGTGCCACTGGCAGATTTGGCTGGCAGAGATTACAGAGCCAAGTGGGTGACATTTAATTTTCCACTTTAACTTTCGTTGCAAATTGCTTTCACTTCCGTTGGCGTCAAATTGTTTTATTAAATACATATCTACAAAATATTTAACTGGTGAAATTTGGATAATCTAATTATCTCTCGCCCGGCGGGAGACGGGCTTATACGCTAGTAATTTAATATGATGGAGGTCTCCCAGCGTATCCTAAGATTAATATAAATTAAGCACAAATTTATTTAAGATGAAATTCATCATCAGACATCGTCTGCCAATCTAGGATTGGCAGAGATATTTGCGTTCGAAGAGAAGAAAACGCACAGTAAATACAATTCGGAAAGTGTACAAATTCTTAATTTTAGGGCGGGATTTCGTCTCTTATAATGCAAAAATTTCTGCAAATTGTGGACATTGGCAGATAACGCCTTTTTTCAAATTTCCAAATTAATTAAATTTTTGATGAAATCAATGAGCATACGCTGGGAAACCTCTATTGTTAGTTTAAACAATGGTACAAAAATTGTATTGGAATTATTACACATATTTATAAAATTGAAACTAGTTTTTCATTCGAAGCGTCATGAATGACTCGGTGTACTCACCATTTAACTCGTACGACTGCGTTTGCGGTCCAAAAACTATCATCGAGGAAGGCGAGGTTTCATTTTCGGGTATGTACATAAATGTGCTAAAGTTTTCTTTGGGATCCATATGAAAATTATGGATTTGAACTAAAAGGAGGCGCCATCGCGGCAATTGCGGTTGGATTAGTCGTATTAGCCGCTGCAGTGGCGGGACTGGCGTACTTTATGAGGGGTCGGAAACCTAAGGTCAAGTTCACCCCGGAGGAGATAGAGCAACTTAAGAAGGAACTATTTGGTTGGAGTGAAGCACCGATTTGTAATCATATAGGACCGGAAGTGGATGTACCAATCGTTGGCTCAACTAATAATGGGATAAATGAAGAATATTCGGTAAAAAAGGAGGACATTGAAGGTAAGTATGGAGTAATTAGAGCTAGTGTATTTAACCGATAAACTAGCCACTTCATAGAGTGTCCGCTAAATTGATATAGAGGGTGTTCCGGAAGTAATGCAACTTTGGTCAAATGCACATATAAACTCAACGAATGAATTTTTTAAAGCGAAATTTTGGTCAGAAAGGGACAAAGGTTAAAGCTAATTAAGTTTTGCTTCCAATGGTCCGTACACCCCTTCCGCCAAATTTGGAGACGTTTTTGTTGGGCGCTCCCAATTAGTGCTTCGCCACTGTTTTTGGTCACCTTTTTTGAGATTTTTGACAACATGTGTTGAAATAAGTTCAAATTTTTGACTGAAGTTTTTCGATTACAATATTTTTTCTAGGATAGGAACTAAAATTTTTCAATAGGTCTTGTATTTGGCAAATTTGGGAACGTTGTTTACCTCTCCCATGTTAATTGCATTTGATCCGTTTTAAGGCGGAGCGTGATACTTTGGCTTATATTTAATTTCCAGTTTTGCATAAATGGTTTTCTTGAAGGTGGGAGAGTTGTACTATGTGCAAATAAAAGAATTTTGATAATCTGAGCAGTACATGGTCTTGTACAGGACGATCAATTTTGGTTAATTTTAATTACTTCAGGTCAAGGATTTTTTCTGCCCTCCTGCTTGCTACTTTTATTTTACTCTTGACTATATTTATAAGCTTCTAGAACCTTCTAGGATTTGATGTCCAACTTCTAAGCTTTCAAATAATGTATGGTGTTCGGTGAGAACTTCAAGTACTTCAGCGAATTTCGCTCCGACATAACAAATTTCTATCTACACGAAGTTTATTACTTTCGGGGCTGCCACACGAATGTACCGACCAGATATTTTTTGCGATTAGTCATTTTTTGCAGCTCATACCTTAGTATAACACAACAAATCGTCACTTTTGGAATTTCTTATTTTTTAAAGTGAACACAGCTCAATTTCTTGGAGCGCGTAACCACTTTTTCGAGGTAGTGGCAGACGATGGTTGCGAGTTGCTTGGTGGTATTTGACCTCATTTTGGAACGGATAGAGATATCGACTTCTGGTTTTCGGATTCTACTAGATAAATGTGTGGACTACAATATTCACCCAATTTCGAATTTGGGGCAAATTGATACCCTTGCATATATGCATTTTACCAAAGTTGCATTACTTCCGGAACACCCTCTAAATAGGTTGCATGTACTATTTATGCCCATGCAGAAGAACTACTGTTGCGGGTCACCAAATTAGCATATATAATTTGACACATCCAAATATGTAAAGTGACGGTCAATTTTCGACAGGCTCAGCTCAGTACGTAACACGCTATACATTCATACATACAGGGTGGTTTAAATGTCAGGTTACAATGGAAAATTTTTCAATTGGAAAAATTCGTAAATTTCCATTAGTTACGGATTTGGGATTGAGATTTTTATTAATTTTTATCAAAACTTATGGAACACTGATGACAAAATTCTTAAAATATTGAATTTCAAAGGCAAAATTTCGGTAACTAATGGAGATTGCGAATTTTTCCCATTGAAAAATTTTCCATTGTAACCTGACATTTAAACCACCCTGTATATGCATACAGCCTTAGAAAACTGGTATTAAATTATTACTGACCGGAGTAGATACGACTCTATCGGCACGGTAAAAACAGGCGTCACCGTTCAGTGACGCACTGAGAATAAAAAAATTACTACTCAGAAACAAACTACTAATAACCCAATTATTATCAAATTAATACAAGAACAGAGTATATATATATACTATTTTTACAAAATGACATAGTTCTCTCTGGTGAATTAGTTGTTATAAAATTTTTCAAAAAAATATTAAGGCGAAAAAAATATTGGCCCGTCTGGGGATCGAACCCAGGACCTTGGCGTTATTAGCACCACGCTCTGCCGATTGAGCTAACAGGCCAGTCGATACATCCAACCGACAACTTACCCACCCAACCGTTTAATGAAAACTGATTTGCACACTAACTGCCCAATTTGGCTCGTTGCAAATTATTTTATAGCGGTGATTATGTCCTGGCTGATGAAGTGTTTTATGATATCTTCAATTTATGACGATGTGTACATGCTTATTAAATGAATGAATGTAAACATATTTATAATTTGCATATGTACGTATGTATGTACATTTTACATACATATGCAAATTATACATACCTATATCTGGAACGAGATTAGCAACGCTATAGTTTATAAGGCCAAATTGTCGATTTGACCATGTCAAATTGGCTCCGAAAGTTTAACTATTACAAATTATAATATTTGCATTTTTCCAGTTTTCAAAAATACGGTACTTGGACGAGGAAACTATGGCGTGATCTTCAAAGGTAGTCTTTCCTCACAATTCGATCAGGACAAGGTGGACTGCGCCATAAAAACTGTGGATGAATTCACTGCTAGAATGGATGATTTGAAATTACTCATGAACGAAATTCGGATAATGTCCTGTCTTGGTCGACACGAAAATGTGATCGCGTTTTTGGGATTTTATTGCAACTTCCATCCGACGAAATGTATGAAATTATTACTTTGTACCGAAATATCTCTTTTTTAAAAAGATTACTTAAATAATTTTGAAAATTACGATAAATTCTGTACAGGGGAATTTTTATGCTTGATGGAGCTTTGCACAGAAAATTTGCACAGCTACCTCCATCAAGCTAGGAATTGTCTAGAGGCCTCCTATTCCGCGAAAATTAATGCTCACATGCAAAAAGCGGGATATGTTCTTTATGCAGATGCTCCAGAACCGGGAACATTGTTAGTACAAATTTATTTATATATCTATATCCATGTCATGGGTCACAGCAATTCAAGATTTATAAGTTTCCTATCCAGAAAAACTTCTATTAGTATAAAGGTCCTGTGGGCATCCTTTTCAAAAACATTCAAATTTCATTGAATTTCAAAATTTAAAGAAATCCGTCGTTCATCATTCGTTTATTTAAAATTTGAAGTATTCCTTCATTATCCATTCGTTTAGCTATTTTCTTAGGAATTGATTCTCTGATTATCTATGAATGAGTGAATGTGAACAGGTACAAATGCCCAAGAGTAATACAGCTTATTAGAAGGCCTGGGTCCCCAAATTCATGATATTAATATTATTTGAAGTAAAATTTTGCCATAAAAATTTCCGCTTCTATTATTCAGAACTTCACCACTTCCCCCGCCAGATGCTCCTCATGTCACCATTACAGAACGTGAAATGAGAAAATGGTCAGCCGAAATTGCTCACGGGATGAATTACTTAACAATGAAAAATGTATGTACCTACATTCAAGTATTTACATTCATTCATAAAAATTACGTGGGATTCATAATCCTGCTTACTGATAGTTTTACGTGTTTAAACATTAAAGTTGCTCCATATCGACCTTGCCACTCGGAATGTGTTACTCTCTGCGAATCGAACTGCTAAAATCAGTGATTTCGGGTTGTCAAAGAAACTGTATGACACCTTGTATTACAAGAAAGTTCAAGGAGGTCATGTAAGTCTTGTTCGGTAGACTCTTAAAAATCCAGTATTAAAATAGTACCAAGTGGTATTCATACATATATGACTCTACCAAGATGGTATTGATTAGTAATACTGCATAGTGATAGTTCGGTATTAAAGTTTTACCATGTCGTTACCAAATTTGTATGGACTGGTATGATTTTAACACCAAGCGGTAACGACCTTAATACCGGGAAATCAATACCACATTTCTAACAGTTTCGTAAAATTTCTTAAAAATGTGTCTTATCTCAAATAATTTTTTTTGTGTCCAGGTTTGGCTTAGCATGAAATGGAGCGCCCTCGAGTCGCTGATGGGGTTGAAATTTTCCAAGGAGTCTGACATCTGGTCGTATGGGGTGACACTCTGGGAAATCTTCAGCCTGGGGGAGGAGCCTTACCCGGAAATGGGTGAGATGGTGGACCTTATCCGATTCCTCAACATGGGACACAGACTCCAATGTCCAAAATCTTGTGACCATGAAACGTATTGAATTTTTTTTCGAATTATCGTAATCATAAAGTATATATGTACATAAAGTAACTAAATAATTTCATGATTTTAGATATACTCTGATGCGACGATGCTGGGAAATGGATCCGACTAAAAGACCCACCTTTCTCGAAATCGGAATATTTTTTGAAAATGCGGAGAGAAAGCAAATTTCTTTCTGATTAGCTGATTGCTAATCCATACATTCACCTTTAGCATGGCATTTAGTAACAATGAGTTAATTTCCTTTGCTAAAAGGTGACATTCACAAGACAATTAGTTGTTAATTTAGTAGTGAATTAGCAAAATTTTGTAGTAAATAAGACCGGGATCTTAGAAAGATAAAATGACGAATTTATAATTATTAAATGTGACACCTTGATCATCTTGAATTCATAACTGGCATAAAATGATCACGATTTGAATATGTAGATTTCCCTTATTTTTTTGTATTGTCCAAGAATTTTGCACGAGTCGCACCAAGCGAAACTGGCATATCTATGTGGGGGCTGCTTGTACTTCTCCGCGTCTTCCTTGCCGTTTCTTCCAAATATGTATGTAATCGTAATTTGGATGAAGATCTTTTGTTTTAAGTATTTTAATGCTTTGTCATTGGCCAAAAATTGTTAGATGGGTTATGGAAGATTTGAAACATTTTCCTTTTAGTGACAAAATTAAAGTCTTACTCCTCGTGGGTTGCTATTCAAAAAAATACAGACAAAAGTTTTCTAAAAAGTTAAAGTCTTCTAGATAATATGTTATCCTGCCAGCTAATCTTTCAGATTTTTTGGGTTCTATTTTTTTCAAGGAATGGTAGGCACTCATTACATATACTTACTCACATGATGTGACGAGGCCATGTCTTAAAAAACCCAAAATCGTTCATCGTGTGAATTCTTCAAATCAAAGAAATGATCTGCATGTGTGGACATTCATTTTTATTTACATATGTATGTACATGTTGAGAAACATAGATATGTTCATATGTACGTATCCCTTCATTTTTCTGGATTCCTGTCTTTTTTAACTATAAATATATGTAGTCCAAATTTACTTGGTCAAGGTTGGACCTTAAACGGCAATATGCGGAAATACTTAAGCTGAAACACTTTCGCGGAAATACTACCCGGAAATACAAACAATGTACCTACATATTTATAAAGACGCCCTCTAACAAAAAATGGACCGCTGCGACTTCCAAATCAATATGCGTGTACCAATGAAAGGCCTAGTGTCATACATATAACCAGCTATGTTTTGTACGTATGTATGTATGTAGTTCCGGGTTTTATTTAGAAAACTTTTATTAGTTATCGTCAGAGCCGTGTCGGGTCGACACTTTTACTGATCCATCCGAACCGAATCCTAATATTTCGGCTGCAAAAAATGTCCACCCAAACCGAATCTGAATTTTTTGAATTTTTTGATTGAAAAAATATTCAACAGAACCGAGCCAACATATACATAGACTAGCCTATAAGCTCGACTTCCGTCGGGCGATAAATTTGACACCTCGAATGTCTGCGAAATTATCATAGCACATCTAGAAATATTCATGATGGTGGTGGTAATCGTTTAAGCAAACTCTTATACTGTCCTAGTTACTGTACCAGCGCAATAAACACACCGGCCCAATAAACGCATAGCCCAGTAAACGCACCAGCCAAGTAAACGCATAGCCCAGTAACTGCAAAGACAAATAAGAGCATAGCCCAGTAAACATACCTGCCCACAAAAGGCACCAAAAAACGCGCCTAGTAAACTTACCAGGCCGTTATGTACAACCAGCATACAAAACTTTGACACGCCCCATCTCCAAATTTAGTGTTTTGAACCCAATTTATTTTGAATTTAGGGGCCAATAGAAACTTTATTTTCCCCACATTCACTTGTACAATGGAAAAATTCTTGTCAGAAAAAAAAATCGTGTCACAGACAAATTTAGTTTAACATCCGTTGCCAACATGATATACGTAGAAATTCAGAATATTGAGATTATTCCTAATATTCTAAATATTCTGATTATTCTTAATAGTCTCGGTCGAGTAAATCAAAAACGTCGAGAGTATACAAAATTTCTCATGATTTACGACATTCTCTATATCCTCGACACTTGATATTCTCGATCTCGATATTCTTCATATTCACAATATTCTCGTATATATAACCATTCTGAATATTCTTGATATTCCTGAATTCCTGGCATTCTGAATATTCTTATTCTTGATATTCCTGATACTCATGATATTCCTGATTCTGATATTCTGAATATCAAGAGTATCAAGAATATTAAGAATGTCAGGAATACCAAGAATATTAAGAATATCAGGAATACCAGGAATATTAAGAATATCAAGAAGATTAAGAATATCAGGAATACCAAGAATATTAAGAATACCAAGAATATTAAGAATATCAGGAATATCAAGAATATTAAGAATATCAGGAATATCAAGAATATTGAGATACCGGGATATTCGGATATCGAGGTATTGGGGGCTTACCTAACCCAGATAACTACCACCCCTAGATAACTAACACCCCCAGATAACCAACAGCACCAGATAATCAACACCCCCAGATAACCAACACCCCCAGATAACCAACCCCCAGATAATCATAAGGCCACGCTTAAGGCTTTCCCTACTTTCACTTCCATCACGAACAGAATTTTAGGACGGACAGATTTGCTTTCACTTCCGTTACCAACAGACATTCTCGCTTATAATATAGATATTTTAGTTGATAAAATACAATGACCCATCCGAACCGAGTCCAAATTTTTCGGTAAAAAGATATCCAAGTGAACCGAATCTGATTTTTTAGGTTGAGTAATATTCAACTGAACCGAATAATTCGGATTCGGCTGGGATGGATACTTTATCCGAAAGTCGGAAAAGCGACTCAACTCTGCTTTCATGGGTATTTATTGATATCAAAAGTAATGAAATGTTGTATTAATTGATATTTTTAAGTAGTCACACCGACAATTGCGTGACGCAGGAAAGGCAGCGTATCGTCTAGAACGATAGCTTTCTCCCTTACCTTACAAATATGGAGCTTGGTTTTATACAAATTAAAATATTGTCGCATGCATATATAAATACAGAGACCACACCAGGTGTGAATATTTAATCGTTGGAAGTTTAAATATTTCATGATCCCCACTTTTCATTAAAGTTAAATAGCGATCCCACAAGCTCGACGGAATATAAATAGAAATGTTCTCATATTTTTCTTAGACACATCTTACATTCAAGCCTGACCGTGTATCTGCAGCAGACATGACGACTATTCCACATTGTATTGTGTATACAATCGTTGTGCACCTTTGCATCATGAAAATTGCACCTGGGTCACCTTCACCTCCAGATTTTTACAAAATTCAAAATTTTGAAGATAAGGTCAATTCGTTTTCTCCCTGTCAATTAAGCATTTCTTATTTTGGAGATTTTGATCTTTCGTCGAGTATACGACGACCATACCAGTTAACTAAATATAGCCCCGTGCTATACAGTCATAACAGGTGAGCACACTTGATTAACTCATGAAAAACCATTTGCGAACTTAAGGATTTTGGGGTTCAATTTTGAAAAATTTAGAACAACTTAAATACTAAAAAAATATTTCGCTGCAAGCATCTGAACTCGAAATGAATACCCCAAATACATAATATACATATGCCAATATTCGATAATATCATACCATTAGCAAATAATTTTCTCAACAATTATCCACTTTCAGACCTAACCGGACCCAAGCGAATCTACTATTTCAACCAATTCATCCCATATTTCGTTCCCATTACCCTGGACAAAGCTGCATCATCTACGTCATAATCATACCGCCAAAGTTATTTCACGATTACACTACCATCGTGCGATACACTTTGTATACTGGTTTGCATTTGGATTTTCAAACCCTATATGAAAACTGGAACATAAAACCTCACCATAAATACTTTTCCTACTTTTATTCCAGCCTCATCGTCATTTTCGGTAGTAGTAATAGTAATGCAACAAACTTATATGCTTCATTCGCTCTAGAATTTTTTAACCAGGCAATCTTTCTAGTGTTTCCAATTGCGAAAACTGCAGATACTAAGCAAAATTATGTTGTAGAACGTAATTTCACAGCATATTGCGAATATGTCCAGTTATCTGGAGGAACCACAAATTTGAATTTACTGACTGCCGAATGCAAAACGTTAATTCTACCCGTCTTTTCGCTCCCTTGGTCCACCTGGGAACTTGTAATAGGGTACTCCGCCTCCCCACTAAAGCTAGTCAATTCATTGAAAAGTTATTCTCTTGACGTCGCCCTACAAATTGTGCTGTGTCAAATGACCACGTTAAATAAACAACCTTACAACTATTCAAACTTGGTCGTAATATTTGCCAACCTCGATTTCGCAAAGCCTTTTATGCCCTCGTATGCAGATTCTGATACGATGAAGAAATCCCTTATTCTCGTGGGGAATTGGTCATTCTCCTTTGTCACGTGCTCCTCCCTGAGTGAGGGACGCTTCAATTATTGGGGTTACGTGAAACCGTTCAACATTAAAATTTGGTATGCCTTAATGGTATCCTGCCTTTTCATTACGATTCTCCTAATCGGGCAGAATGGGTCGAAATACTGGGCCCTAAGTTGGTACGAATTGGCCAGCGCGATGTTTAATGCTGTCCTGGATGTGGCATTTATCGTCGCGGAGAGATCGAGTTCCACGTTACGGATAATGTTTCAAAGTCCCGCTTCCGAGCAGCTGATAATTCTTTGGACAATGGTGACTTTTGTGATAGTCAATATTTACAAGAGTATTGTGACCGAAGATATTACTGCACCCCTGGTTTCTAGCCCGCCTGAAACGTTTGATGACTTGATTTCCGGCCGATTTCGGATATACAGCAGTCCAATCATGCAAACCCGAACTAGTCTTCTCATTCCGGAAACGATGATGAGCTTTCGGGTCGGAGAGGGCGAGTTGGATGAAGAAATTTATGGACAGTTTTTGTCATGGATGGCATCACTTTCCTTGCATCTTGCAGAGGTGGTTAATGCTATTGGCGAACGTCATTCCAAGGCCATGCTAAATTCTGAGGATAACAGCCGCCTAGATTTGAAGTCCTTCCTCAAGCAGAACCGCAATAATGTCACGTTAGTTCAGCAGGAGTTTATGAAGCACGAAGTTGGTAAAATTGCGGGAATTTCGCAAGTTGTGGGTGCCTCCCTGATTTCTGAGGTAGTTGGTCAATGTGATAAAACTGCTTTTGTTACACCGTCAATTTACATGATGTCAAAGAGATATTTGTTATCTATTTTGGGCGGGGATAGTTCACATTTAAATAGGAAACCATACATTAAGGGTGGGGATACCGTTTTCTCTAGAAGGGTTTACA